GCCTAAGGTCATCCTCAATGTGTCGCCAAACGCCTGGAGAGGACGTTCTATTTTCTACAACCTAAGAACATCATCAGGCGTATATTTAGCGCTGTAATTGTCCTAAATGAGTTCTTTCAGTGACAGCCTGAGGATTTAAAGAATTTCGTGCCTACGGACGTCTTCAGTTGACATTCCATGAAATAACGTGTCATCGAAGACAAAAGGAAGAAAAAGAAGAACTAGAATTGAGGTTATGTCTCATGATAGTCATGATTTGTTCAAGATGCATCATAATATTAATGATTATATCAAAATTATTAGAGTATTCATTGAATACTTTCATCAAATTTCTATTTCACAAAATGATTGCGAGAAGAACTTATTGCACAGAATTAAAAGATAACAATAACAAAAGGATGATAATCTCTGTTGATGACATTTCTCTCAGGTAGCAAGAAACAATGGTGAGTAAATATTAAATAGAATCATTGATAGTACCGGACATGAAATATTGATACATTCATATACATTATTTATTGTTTCAGGAGGTTCTTGAGAACACAAACTTGATGATATCATCATAGCAAACATGTTTTATTCCAAGATAGCTTTGCTTCTTCGGAATCTATAAAATATTGTATGGAAGCTTGAACTTTCAGTATGAATTCAATAAAGGTAGGTACCTGAATCAAATCATTGATATTGTAGGTACTGGACATGAAATGTTAATAGGTTAATTATTTGTTTCAGATGAAGTTATTGAGAACACAAGATTGATCAGATCAGAGATGTTTCATTCCAAGATATTTTGGCTTCTTCGAAATCAATGTGAGATTGCATATGCATGTTTTCACTTTCAGTATATTCAATGAAGGTAGGTACCTAAATCAAATCATTGATATATAGGGACTGGAACATGAAATATTAATAGGAACATTATTTGTTTCAGGAGGTTATTGATAACACAAAATGATGATATCATCAGAGCAGAGATATTTTATTCCAAGATATTTTGGCTTCCTTGGAAATTATGAAAGATTGTACATATGCAGACTTGAACTTTCAGTAGATTCAATAATGGTTGGTACCTTTAACTACATAAATCATATCACTGATAGTAAAAGTATATACTGGACATAAAATATTAATACATTTTTTGTTTCAGAAGGTTATGCAAAACACAAACCTGATGATATTTTCATTCCAAGATAGTTTTGCTTCTCCAGAATCTATAAAATATTGCATGAAGGCTTCAACTTCCAGTTGATTATTCTGCATCAGGAATGTCCAGAGTTCAAATATCGGAAACAACATGGAGAAATATAACTATCAATAGGCAATAACTTCTAGTAGTGCTCAACAAGAAGCTGAAATACATTTCTTTGGAAAGGAAATTGAAATTTTTCAGAATAAGTTATAAATAATAGAATGTAAGTTTTTCATTTGGTTTTTCATTTGAACCTATCATAAATAGAGGGAAATTTTGCAAATATCATGAGATCCATATTACTTTGAAGAAATTATCATTTGCATAATACAAGGGGAGTCAATAGTGTGTTATCCTTGTATATTAGCCAAACCATCAGATAAATAGAGAAAATTCAAGTACAACAGTAATAGGGTTTCATGAGAACTTTCACATTGAATTGTTTCCATATATATCTGTAGGGTGTTCGAATTCCAAGATATATTGACTGATGATTGTTTTTTTCCAAATGGGACACCCTGTATACTATTGCATTTTTAGGTTCTCCCTGAAGAGTTGATTCCATCAATGTATCACACTTGGGGTCTAGCGGGGATGATTACAGAGATATAGGGTGTTCAAAAACAAGATTTTTCAATTTTAGGATTTTTTTGTGGAAACTATTCAATATTGGTCAAAACGGCTCACATATCCTTATAAACTTTCGATTTACTATCTACTGACATTCAATCGGAACAAATAGAGGGTGGGTTAACATTCAGAATACTGATCAGCTTATTGTACCTGTTTCAAATGAATATCAGTAGATAGCTAATCAAAAGTTATGACAGGAACATGTGAGCCGTTTTGACCATTAATGAATAGTTTCGACACAAAAAATCCTACATTTGAAGAATCTCAATTGTCAACACCCTATATCTCTGTAATAATTCCCACTAGACACCAAGTGTGATGCATTGATGGAATCAACTCTTCAGGGAGAACTCAAAAATGCAATAATATACAGGGTGTTCCATTGAAAAAAAACAATCATCAACCGATATCTTGGAATTCGAACACCCTATAGATATGAAAACAACTTTAGGTGATTGTTCTTATGAAACCCTATTACTGTTGTACTTGAATTTTCATTTTATATATCTGACGGTTTGGCTAATATCGGAGGAGAACACACTTTAGTGACTCATTCTGTATACGAATAATATTCTCCCATAAATCTTGAACCTCCTTGAAACATTATCAAAAACCGCCTCAAGTTGTTACCATGATGTCCTGAGGTTGTCTCAAAAGATTTTATAGGGATGTTCTGAGACGTTATTAGTATGTAGAGAATGGTAACAGGAGGACGTCTTGAGAATGTCCTCAGGCTCGCTCTCGACGTCCTGAGGACATGATTGTGAACGCCTCAGAAGGGCCTCAAAAGGAATTTGTGCTCCTACTGCATGGCATTTCATTCACGCTGTATTTCTAGGGTTTAAATTGGTTGGACTTGTTTGAAAGCTGACTGTACAAGTAATAAAGACTGTGAGGTTCACTCGAGCTTCGAGCTCCTAGTCGGGGAGTCCGCCCCCCTGCGACCTTGACCTCCACTCCACGAGTGAACGTTTGATGATTATTAATTCAGCTTAGTAACGAAAATGCAAACGAAAACAACCTGCTAGGTATAAAGTTACATGAATATCATAACATCCGGAGCACAATACTGTTTTTCAATTGCTACAAATTGCTGTTTAAATGTTGCAGGATAACGTAATTGTTTTCAAGGTGTTTCACCGCAGAATGTTCAATACAGCTTACGTTCGGCAAAAATAATGTTGTATCGACATTCCTTGGTTATCATATTATATACTTACGGCATCTTATGGTTTTGGATTACTTCAAGGTATATACCTAGCCTAGGTATCTGGTTGCAAAAATAAAATGCTGGAATCTGGAGAAAACTATACATTTATACCTATAATAGGTACTCAATAAGTATGTCCTTCTACTCACATTTTTACTGAAGTATTCGACACAATTTCCAGTCACATCACACGAAAATCGAAATGACCAATTATTTGGGAGCGAAGATACGGTACAGTCAAAAAACAACACGGAAGTCCACATAAACAATAAAAACAAGCATTGTTTAGCGAAGCCGACAACAAAAACAGGGTTATGTTCCTAAGACACTTTCATTTGCATGTTGATTTCAAGTTCAACAAACACGATAAACATAAATGATGAAAAACTATCATTAATTGGTATTGAGTAATTACACGCACTTTGAAAAATTGATCAATAGTTCTGGAATACACATGAGCACCCGCGAGCATACACAACACAAATTTCGTCTTCTAATTTTGACAGTGACAGCTGCAGCAGCGCTTCTGCGCATTTCGGATTTCACAGCTTTGACGAGCATGCGCACATGATTTAAATAATCGATTTTAAACCTGACAGTTTGTACAGGGTGATACGTTTAGTTGGTGTAGAGGGCATCCTATTTTGGTTGAATTGAATCGGCCAGGTTTCTAGGTTGTTATTGAATATAAGAGCCTTGCGGTTTTCATGTTCCTGTCCTACTTTTTTGTGAAACTCAAGATGGTCTAATCAGATTTCGCATTAATTTTTTCGTTGATGAGATAGGTACAAGCACGTACATACAAGGCGATTTTCCAGTATCCAGTGACGTACTCAATTTTTTTTTCGGTGTTTTATTTGTTTAAATATTAATTTTTCAAAAACTGACAAAAGATAACCTCAATGAAGTCTTTTGACGGCTGAACTTACATACTTAAACAGCTTTTTATTTCACAAATCTTCGCGCCTAATTTTCAGTGGAAACTGAAAATGTTTTATCTGCATGTCTAATTTACAGCTGCAATTGTGAATTAGGAATTATGAAAAACAAACAAGAGATCTATAAATTATGCAAATATTGTGAAAAAAAGTTGTTTCAGGATACCAGTTCCGAGCCGTCGCTTTTTCTAGACCTGAAATATCAATATTATTTCGTTTGGCTTAAGAGATGTCTCTGAAATTAATTGAGAATGTCAATATCTTAATCTTTTCCATCGATATTATGAATCAGTTCGGATTTTAAATGTGAAGATTTGAACAGAAAATTTATAATAATCTACAAGAATGACCAATTACAATGAAAAAGTTACAATTTCATTCATAATTTGTTTTATTGTTATTTTTATGTCGCATCGATAATAGATGGAAGATTGGAATGTTTCAATTAATTTGTTGCAAAGAACAGTTGGGTCATTTCAGAATCTGAATTGTCCGATGTAATATAGCCTGAAAGTGCAATCACGATTAGAACCAGATAATATTTAAGAGGAGAATATGACGCATGGGATAGTTATGTCATTATTTTTTTTTTTATTGAGGAATAAACAATGACTCAAAATACACTTAAGTCGATATTTCTCCAAAATAATGCATTAAACATCACATCTTATTCTCTCAAGATACATTCACGGCGTTTTTGTACTGGAAAAAAATAACTTGCGTCAACTTTTTATAGAAAACTTCTCACAACTGACCGTTGCGACAGTTTTCTTTCAGTGAAATGGTGCCAATTGATACAAATTCGATAAAGACGTAGCTCACATCTGGAGGCCAAATATCTTACTACAATTCTGACGATTTTTTTCCAGATAGAGTAAACTTTTCTCTACCAGCTGATGGGCATAACTAATTTTTCCAAAAAATTGCAGTTACGTCATTATCATTCTGGGACGGCGATATGATCTAAAAACTCATCTAAGAAAATATCTGCAATAAGTAACGATCGAATTTGGAGAATGAAACTATAGTTGTATTCAGAATATTATAATCAAGTTTCTCCATAAGTAAGTTACATCAACTTACACTTCGAAATATTCAATTCAAAAGGAAATCCACTGGACACAGAACGCAATTCTTGTTTAGCTCTTAATGTTTCTTAAGCCCTGTTCGTTTGTGTTTGCCCAACCAGCAAACTTTTTGTTTTCTATAGCTAGCTCTGTTTACGTTGTGCGACGAAAAGAGATAACTATAGAAAACAATCAACTTTGACAGGTCCAGCAACACAATCGAACAGACCTACACAAAGTAACCTAATCAAACTCCTCTAATCGCTATCCTCGTGCCTCCTAGACGACTTCTTCTTCTTGTGCGACCTGTGACTAGGGCTGCGCGACTTGGACCGGTGTCTTCTAGACCTACTCCTCGATCTCTCTCTTCTGTGCGACCTTTCCCTAAAGATAAGAAATTCATGAGGGGGTCAAGAAACTCACACAAAATTTCCGTACGGTGAAAATGCGTTGAGTTCAAAGTCAAATGCCTTCAGATTGAAAATAAGATTTTTTCCAGAGCAGTAACAACTTCATTTCATTGTGTACAGGGTCTTCACGTATATTTTGAACCCCCCCCCAACTATTTTATTCATCATCGAATGGTTTTTCCAGAGGATAGTCGTTTATAATTTTTCCTGTAGATTTTGAATATGTTAACAGAAAAACAATTGAACATCTCAAAAAAAAGTTATGGGCAAGATTTATAAATTTTTGAATCGAATACCCTGTATTTTATTTCAGTTTTAGATTCTCCCTGAAGAGCTGATTTCATCGATCTATAACAGTTGGGGTCTAGCTGAAAATTCGATGATAAAAAAAATAGTTAATGGATGGTTCAAAATATACGTGAAGGAGATGGAGCAATTGAAAAGTGTACCACTATAAATGGGAAAGTTTCCTTCAGATGAATTTTCATATAAAATAAGTTCAGAACACGCTGTACAGAATGGCAACCGATAAAGTCGTCGTTTTCATTTTCGAATTAAAGCAATTTCTAATTTTCGGGGCGGCAAACTGTGACGTACATTCTGAATCTAGTCTGAAAATAGCTGATGGTGAAGAATATAGCTAGCATGGTAGCAAATAGCTAACAAATGGTTAATGAATGAAAAAAAAATAGAAGAAGTAAAACTGGTAAACAAAAACATACATAACCACAAATGAACTCGGAGCAGGAATGCAGAAGGTAGTTGGCTTCATTCTGAAAGGTTATGGTTTTGTTATTTATGCATTGGAATATCTCAAATAGAGCGCGATCCTAAACGAAAATATCATTGAATCAATGAATCACTATCGGCTACATTCAATGATACAGGAGCCCCTTGTTATCTCGAATGAGCATGCCAAATTTTATAAAAATCTGCCGAGAGGTTTTCGAGTAATTGATGAAAAACTGATTTTTTCTAAAAACTTTCCACACCCTATATCCCTAAAATGAAGCAAGTTAGGACACACGCTTATAGGAAGAAAAAGTCATATTTTTTCCTAAAAAACTTATTCTAAACGTTTGGCGGTTTAACCCTGGGTCACCCTGTATATTATTTTTTCACAAACTTCACAGTGAGATAAAAACCTAAATATAGGAGACTTCCCCATTGTCGTCACTCTATTTATAAAAGGTATTTTTTCGCGAGTTCCCGTTGATCAGTCACCGGTAATAGAGCGGTTATACCCCCACCAAAAAATAAACCGAAGGCTGATCATCCTTAGATTTCTCACGAAAATGAACCGGTTAACCGTTCAGATTTCTGTCAGCTGGGGTTTTGTTTTCGATCATAATATATGATCATAATAAATGGACAGTTGCATTTTGGTTGCATGATCGTTGGCTCCGGCCGCTCCGGTGGCTCAACAAAAAGCATCTCAAAATGTTCCCAACAGTACTGTCAATGATTGATGATTTTTTTGATTCAACTTCGATTGTACTTGTCTCATCCCATTCAACTTTTCAAAGCACAATTATAAAGCCACGATTTTCAGAGTTATTTTCATCCTAGAGTGAATCATATGGACTTGATCCCCTCCATCTATTGGTGTTTTTGTTGGTGTTCTTCCATTTCATGAATTAAAAAGTGAGTAGTAGGTATCTCAAAAATAGTTTGAATAATTATAAATATGTTTACTTCTAATAATTAAATAATACTTTGAAAATAATGATACAATGTCACTTGTCAATTACTATAACCGCCAGTAACCATGTTCACAGATGCGGGAACTAAAACAGTTCCCGTTTTATAAATTGTGACGTCACTGATGACGTCATTATCATACTCCCCTATTGCCGTTATGACGCAAGAATGCAACGGGAACTGAATATCAGTTCCCGGCAAATCAACGGGATCTCGCGAAAAAAATACCTATTTGTCACTCTATGCCTACCGTTCTCTGTCTCTGTCGCGCGGCTTCTCCGATCGGCCGCGCGACTCGCGCTCCCCCCTCTCCTTGTCGCGGTCACGGTCGCGCGGCGGCGACGACTCGCGTCTGCCGGGCGGAGACCGCATCGGCCCGCCCACAGGCGGCGGGCCCATCGCCATGGGCGGCGGGGCCATTGGCGGCGGGCCGGTCAGCTGCTTCAGGTCGGAGGGCGCCCAGCCCGGCGGCGGCTCTGTACCTTGAGAGAAAGAGGGAGGAATTTTGTATTATTTTTTTTATAGGGAAGGACCCCTCATAGATTTTGTATGCTGTTTCCTCCCAGATCTCTGGACTCAACTCCCCTAAGGGAGTTTAATAAAGAAAAAGTTGAAAAATACAAAATCTGAAATCATGTGTGTCAATGAGTGTTGAGTAAATATTTTAGGAGAATGTCTTCATATAGAAATGTATTCGTTAAGGCCATGTCTCATGGTCCAACAATTTGATCAAATGGTTTGAATCGTCAAGAAATCCTTGTCACACGATTTGAAGAAAAATATTGAGTAGGTTTTTTAAAATGGGAGAAATCACAGGGAGAAATAAACTAAAAATTCATTACCTATATGGTATTTTGTACAGTATTTGTAATACAGGGAAAGAGATATGGAGAAGACAATGGATTCAAAGAAGAAATATCGGGAGAGAGTAGAGTAGGCCTACCTATGATTCCTGATGATATCAGACTGGAAGGTTTAAATAGTTTCCAAAACTGTACCTAAAAATGTATGAGATATGTTTCAGCTTTCTATTAAATAAAATCAACCCATATATTGAAAAGACAAATAGTAATAAGCATGAATGTATACCTGCAGAAATGAGGTGAGATCATGACCTAGACCCTAGTCTTCCTAGCATAAATTTGGGACTGAAGAAAATCAGTACCAGCAGGCATTTTTGAAGTAATGATAATATTAATTATAGTATTTCTTATTAATTCCTAAGATAAAAAATAATAATCATTTAATCAATGATGAAAACATGAAAACAAACATCCTAACCTGATTGTTTTATTCAACATGTCATATATTTAGAACACGTTCTAGATTTCAGCTGCTTTTTGACGTGACGTCATTGATGACATCACAGATATGTAGTTTGGTCGAATTGTTGGACCGTGAGACACGGCCTTAAAGATGTCTATTAAATGTTGTTATTAAATAAAGTCCTAATTCATTTTTAATACTGCATAGGTTACTACATGAAAAGCTTCTCAATGCATAATAAATAGTAATTGTTAATATTGAATATTTTGGTACAGATCTATTTCAGATAACGCCGATTTCAGTGGCGTAGGCAGATTTTTTCTTAAAAAATCACTAATATGGTTTCTGGATTTTTCAGCCTCTGAATGTGATCTAGTAGTCCTTATGTTGTAGAAGAAGTGGACACCTCTAAGCACCAAAATACACATTTTCCCCCTCCAAATTTGAGAAAAATAATCGTAAAAATCGCTATATAAATGAAATATTTATATTATGGTCGCTTTCAAATGGGTCACTCTGTGTACAGGATGATTAATTAAGAATGGGCAATCTCTAAAATACAGATAGTAAACACCAAAATATGAAGATTTGGCCCAACATGCCTAATAAGAATGTTGCTGGTTTAGGAGATACAGGGTGTTCCAGTAGAAAATTTTATTTTGAAATTTCTCAATAATTTTGTAAGTTTCAACAGCATGAACATGAAATTTGGTAGTTTCAGATTTTCTGACATTTGAAATACAAATTTGTAACAAATTTAGTGATTGCTCATAGAGTGCTATTGGCTCTCTTTCACTTCTGTAAATTATGATTGTAATAAGTCAGAAATCTAAAAACCCCTTAGAATGTTCAACCAAAGTTATATAGAAATTTAGAATACATTTTTCCCCTGTATCTGCAACATTTTTATAAGGCATATTGGGCTAAAACTTCATATTTTTGTTTTTACTATCTGTAGTTCAGAGATTGCTCCTTCCTAATGAATCAGCCTGTACAGAGATTATACAATGTCCTGTATAAAAATCATGCATTGTCAATTGTCATATAGGTACTTTTTTTACAAAAAATGAACATATTTTTCTTTAAACTAAACAACAGTAGAACAGTATTAGAGAACATGTTATATAAGAGCAGAGCATCATGTGGTACAAGATGCCACTCTTTTTAAATATGCTGGGCTTTGACCAGTTGCAATATGTTTTTTTAAATTTATTCAATTTTGTCTAAATTAGTACAATTTCAGCAAGGTTTTCAACTTTTTTTGGAGAACCAATTAGACAGGTAAGAACTTCTAGAACATCAGGTATATCAGAATTAGATTTGGTATAGGTAAATGGTATGTGAATAGGAAAGTTTTCACATATTTTTCACTTCCCGGTCACTTCCGATTACACCGGAAATGGCGCCGGGTTTGAAATTTTAAATGAAACACCCTGTATATTGTAACATTTTTGGAGTTCTGAGACACTTTTGGATAAGAATATGACATTTTTGAAAGGTTTCATGCCTACTCAATTTTTTTAGAGTCACTTTTAATGTTGCATAAAAATAAGGAATTTTCACTTACTGCTCATAAGGTTTATGTAAAGAGGGCAAGACATGAAACAAATAACTTCAAAATATTATTCATCATGATTTAATTTATGTTCTTATGTTTAATCCAATCACAAATAAATTAGTATCATTAGATTCCAAAAAATACATTTTTCAGATAATGCTCCTCAGAAAAAGGATGCTATTTGAAGAATATTAGTTGGACAGGAAAATGTTATTTTTTCATACTAGTCACTAAAACTCTGGGATTGTAATTTTCACCTGAGATCCTTAGATTAATTTACCTCTTATCATGGCTACCTGTATACATGCAATATTGAAAATGACTAAAAAAATTAATTAGGCTTTCAAACTTTTGAAAATTTATCATTCTGATCTAAAATTGTCAGTAATTTCCAGTGAAACCAGAAGTGAACAATATGTGTAAACTCTCCTCTTCACATTTGAGTTATGAAATGTCTAATATAAAAATTATCATGAAATGAAACACACCAAAATTAATACATAACATTAGGCTGGGATATCTAATTGATAAAAACTCCACAAATACATTTTATTTTCTAAAGTATTTGTGAACAAATAAAGATTTCCTTTCCATTTCTAAATGGCATTTAAATTTTGATTCTTTCTGTTCAAAGAAATGTCCCAATGGTATTTGATAACATTCATATTTACCCCATTGAGAATCTTGTGTAGGTTCATAACCACCTCCATAGAAAGGTTCTGGTTCAGGATTGAAGCCATATTCAGGCTGGAAAGCCTCAAATCCACCTGGTGGGGGGACAGACATATCAGGAAATCCTGGTTTCCTGCTGTACTCTCTTCTATCAGCAGTCATCACCTAAAAATACAGCGAACAAACAATCAATACCTGTTAAGTGTCACCAAAGTTTGCCCATAGGGTGAAGAATAATCTGTCATTTCTAAACATCATCATGTGGTAATAGTGTTATTGATCCACTTTCTCATCAATATCCTCATCTCATATATTATCAGCCCCAAAGGCATTGACAGTAAAGTAAGATCAGTATTTTTTTATGGCAATAAAACCCAATTGTATATAAAAAAGAATAGTAATTTTCTTTCACAAACCTGTATGGTGTTGACTCTGGCAATCTGATCTGTTTTCAGTGGTGGTGCAATAATCTTCTGGGCTGTCCCTATAACATCAATACTACTTGTGAATATCCTACAAGAAGGACCTGCATAATGCATACCTAAGAAGTTGTTGGTATATTTGCTGTTGTCATTTATTACCACTGGTCCACGAGGCATTATCCCTAAGGGATTCATTGGTATCAGACCAGCACCAGATTCATTTACTCTCATCCTGAAAGACATAAATATAATGATAACATATTTCTGGAAGATGAGAATACAACCTTTTCTGACGTTCACAATATGCTCTCCAGGTGTCTTCATTGAACCCATAGTTGAAGTAGTCAGTGATATCAGCACCTGGCTTCCTCCAAGGTTTGTCTTCCAGAGAATCAACATTGAATTCAGTGGCAGGGACACCATTTATTGTCCCAATTTGCTCAAATTCTTCCACAACAAATTTTCCAGGTTGCTGTTGTAACTGTTTATTCTTATCTCCCACAGAAGTAAGGAGACCACCTCGTTTGATATTCAAAGATGTGTAATTAGATGGTGTAGTTGTTTTGATGTCTCCTATAACTACATTGACATCATCATCACTGTCATCTTCATCTTCATCTTTGTCACTGTCCTCTCCATTCTGTTGGACTTCTCCATCTTCTGCTGGATCCTCCTGCTCCTGTGGTTCTTGACCATTTTCTTTCTCTTCGATATCCACTCCTGGAGGGCCTTCATCTTCTACCTAAACAAGATATTTTAGAGGTTATGTTATATTTTTTCGGTTTCATGAAATAACCTGTGGTGGTGGAGCGAGTAGTTGTTCTTCGGTTCCCGGTGGTGGCTGTTCAACTTGTTCTTCATTTACAGCGTTATTTGGATCTTCGTTGGTATTTAAATCAGGAGTATCGCCGTATAACCACTGATCATCTTCCAAATCGTCTGCCATTTTTCGGCCATTGAAAAAATGACAAACGACAAACACTCAAACACACAGTGTTGCCAACATGGAAGCTGTGAAAATCCCACATTTCTTGAATTCCGGTCATTTCCCGCCACATTCAAATTTATTCAATAATCTATCAAGGAATTTGTTTCGGAAAATAAAGATACGCATAATCTATCGATGATTTTACAGTTTTGCGCATTTGAAAAAATTCCATTCTGGTTTCTCATGGACATATATTTTAATAAGTATGTGTCTGTTTACAAGATGACAACTATTCTTAAAATCCCCCAGATGATACTAGCAATATTTCTTCAACATATTCATTGATTATAAGTGAATTATGAGTGATTATGTAAGAAGATATCACAAGAAACATAGTCAACTGAAAATGTCTCTTTCTTGAAACGAAATTATATTTGAAATATTTCTTTTTCCACACCAAGGTGGATATATGTTCCACACAGTTGGTAACATGTACTCTGCCGATAAGGTAGATTTCACACGATTTCCGGAAATTTGACTTTTGACATGAATGGAAGGACCTCTATCGACACATTTTTACTAGTCTTTTAGTTGTTTGTCAAAATGGGTAAGTACGTGTGATTTATTTTTAGTATTACCTCGATCCATCCAGTGATATAAGTTATATTTTTCACTGAAATTAGTTAACAGGATTGTTCAACTACTTCTGCAAGCAAGTATTTTCGTCTAAACAAATTCCTATTTGTCAATAATATGAAAAAATCAAACATAACCATAATGTTCACTTTGACATCAAAACATGTTCATGATGAGAATATCCAATATTATTCCGATGTGTTGTGCTGACGACTCAAACAATTCCACAGCGATCTGATATTATTCATGTACTAAAAAATATTGTATACTTGCTAGACATCTGTTCAAACTTCACTCATCTATTTTAGGTATCAGCCGTGACCACTGGCATAAACGAAGGGCCACAGGAGGTAAAAGGAAGCCTCTGCGTAAGAAGAGGAAGTTCGAATTAGGTCGTCCTGCAGCCAACACAAAGCTTGGACCCAGAAGGATCCATTATGTTCGAACCAGAGGCGGTAATCTGAAATACCGTGCCCTAAGGATAGACACAGGAAATTTTGCATGGGGTAGTGAAGGAACCGCACGCAAGTCCCGTATTATCGATGTTGTGTACAATGCTAGCAACAATGAGTTAGTTCGTACCAAGACCTTGGTAAAGAATGCTATTGTTGTTGTAGATGCTACTCCATTCAGACAATGGTATGAAAACCATTATGTTCTACCTTTGGGGAGAAAGAAGGGAGCTAAATTGGTTAGTACTATTTATTTAGTATTCAAGTATTTATTTTGGTCAAATGATGTTGATCATGCGTGTCATCTGATTTGATGATTATAACATTGGCCTTTTTACTGATGATTCTTTCTTGATACTATACTAACTGTCATGTTTACTATATGTTGTGTTACACCTCTGTTTAATTCATTATAGACTGCTGAAGAAGAAGCACTGATTAACAAGAAACGTAGTAAGAAAGTGCAAAAGAAGTATGATACTAGACAAAAGACCTCTAAAGTAGAACCTGCCCTTGAAGAACAATTCCAAACAGGAAGGTTGTTGGGTAAGTAAATTTTGTGAAGTTGACAAAACTTCTCAATTTATGGTACAATTAAAGATGCTTGAATGACTACCAATCATTCTATTGATTTTTTTCATTGTTTCCCTGAAGTCCAGTGATATATTATTGTTACTGGTCTTCTTATTTATTCATAAGGTGTAGTTATTATTGATTCTATGAATGTTTTTCAAGTTTTTTAGTGTTGATGAAATGATACCTATTCATTGAGTGAAATTATTCAATTTCATTTGAGTGATCATAACAATTGATAAAACTGAAATTTTCATTTTGCTAGATTATTTGATAAAGTGAAGGTTATTGCACCTAGGCCTACATTGGTATGCAGGAATACACACCAAAAAGAAATCAGGAAATTGTCTCAGCAGTTGATGAGCAAATTGTGAACATTCTCCTTGAATATAGGGACTCAAAATGTTGGGATTATTTAGGTCTGGCAGAAAATTATCTTTCATTTGCACCAGAAAACAAGCATACTTACTATCATTGACCTTGAACTTCTTGGATATGTTGACTGCTATCATTTTGGAGGATCTGATAGGATAGGTTCTTGAGAACAGAATATTAAACACATCAAAGTTTTATTCATCATATGATCTAGATTTTTTTCAATAGATGAGCATGAAAAACTTCATTTTTTTTTCATTTGATTAAGCATGATGACTTGCTACACAAAAATTATAAGCTGTTTTCTGAAAGTATTGGATTTAGTGCCTCTAAAATGGACATCTACTGGTGAAAAGAAAATTATTTTAGGAAAAAAGGAACTGTTATTTTTGAATTCTAATAAATGATGAGGAAATAAAGATATGATATTTTTTATGTTTGTTTGTGGTGAGTTCTAAACATTTTTTGAATTATCACCCTGAAATATTATATCTGAACTACATTTTTTATACTCTTTTTATCATTCTCACTAGTTGACTTTACTAGAGTATAAGGTCTATGTCAAAGTCAAAAGGCCGAAAATTTTGCAGGAAATATTCCAGTATCTCGATAATTGTGAGGTTTTTATGGGGGTCAAGTTTTGGTTTTCTGATAGGTTATGATCGTGTTTATCACCAGCTAGAGTGTTTGGCCGGAAACCATGTTCACTACTACTCTCACAAATTTGAAGGTATCTGCATTTAAACTCTTCCAGCTTTGTGAGATGAAAAAACATGCTTTCTTCTTCTTCTGTTTTTGTCATCAGTGTTCCAAGGTGCACATTCAAAAGAGTGAACATTTTATAATGGTAATAAAAAGATAGGAAATAGCGAAGACCAATCCAACCTCAATATAAAAACGATACTTCTTCATTTCTTTCCAGTCATCACCAACATCAAATTTTCAGTATTTAATGTTGTAACCCTGAAGGGAATAGAAGGGGAACACATAGTGGAAATTTAATATTGTATTCAACAGGAAAAAAAACGAACTCAAAATAACCAGCGTGTGACTATAGTTTCGGCTCTACGGCAATCTTCAGACACAATAAAAAAAGTACCTATAAAATTCCAAGTAGTATCAGTTGTGGCTCCTCAGAGGAGGCAACGGAGGCTGAGCCTCCTCAGAGATTCTTCTCAAACTGATATTATCTATACTTTCTCATTAAAAGGACACCAAAATACATGGATTTTGATTTTATTACCTGTTTTTAGGTAAATATTTTTGAATTGGCAACAGTGCTTGCCTACGCATCACACGTTGAAGTCTGCAAATCACGCGTAAAATATTTAACTTGGCAACATCTATAGGAGGCTATACTCCTTCACAAACAAAACCCACGCGCGCAATGCAAATGCCCGAATACGGCCGAATAGCACGTGATTATCGTGCCGCGTCGCGAATTGCGGACAATCCAGCGCGAGTGCATTGTTTATGTTTATGTTAGGTTAATGGTTAGGGGCTCTATAAATTTCTGAAAAATGAGTGTTGGTGAACCCATAGAGTGCTTTGTCTTATGAAGATAAATTAATTGTGAAAAACAAACGTCCGACACCGGAATTAAAAAATCTGATTGTAACAGGTAACAAACAAAATCGTTCCTACAATTCTGATAATTATAAAAAGTATATCTGGTTGACGGGATCTGAGGTAAGGAATAAGCTATTTTGTTGGTCTGCATTTTCAATCGATAAGTCATCATGTTGGGGGCGATTAGGATATAATGATTTGAAAAATTTGCCTCCCGGATTGGATAGACACTGCAAATCACAGGCACACATCTCTTCAAGTATTAAGTTCAGGTTAACTGGTAAACAGAATGTCATTAAAGCTATTGATTTGGGTGAGTCGTAGAGAGTTGTTCTTCACAATAAATCTCATATCATTCAGCCTCCTCTGTCATGAAAGTCACGAGCCGCCACTGAGTAGTATTGATAGATAGGTACTTCATTGTGTCTGGATGACCGTAAAGCCGAAACACACGCTGATTAGTTCATATTAAATATTGTGGTCCACCGACTTTGAGTTCGTTTTTTTTTTCTCCTGTTGAAAAATACTGGACCACTTTGAGAATGTATGGTTTCCATGACTTAATATTGCATTCACACCATGGGAATGCATATGTTTTCTCTCTCAGTCTCTGTGCTAGCTGAACTTCTCAATTTTCCTAACTGCAATTTTGTATCTACTTCAATGAATTTCAATGATGAAAAAACTAGAGCGAGTTCACATTATAGGGCAATATTTGTTTTGAATATGCCCTGTGGACTGTGATTAGCTTGTCATAGTTACTCTGATCAAATCAATCTATACTCAGTTGTTTTCATTGAATTTGACATCAGATTATTTAATCGATCTTTATTATTATTTTCAGCTTGCTTGGCATCTAGACCTGGACAATGTGGTAGGGCAGATGGTTATATCCTAGAAGGAAAAGAGCTTGAATTCTATATCCGTAAGATAAAATCCAAGAAAGCCAAGTAAAATGTTAATAGGTGGATAATTAAATTTTTTCACCAATGTTGATGATTGATTTTTTGTTCTAATAATGCCTTATCTTATTTCTGGAAAACAGATGAAAGCAATGGGGGCTAACATTATTTATTGTCCACCAAACCGCGCCACATGAAATTTTCAAATTATAAACATTTCATCCAAAGAATAACATGTTCATATCTGGTATGAGATTATTCATGCATTATCAAATTGAATTTTCGTTTTTATTTCTTTAAAAACTAATTAGCAAGCTACGAAAACACTCATATGGAACAAGCAAGTTGTATGTTCTATTAATGAATCAAATAAAAATGAACTGGATCAAAATGATTTTAACCATGAATATCAGGTAACCCTCTCGGGCGCCACTGGAATAATGACGGTGAATCTAGTTACGCCAAAAGATACATTATCGTATTAAAAACATGAAACATAGTGTCTGTCATAAATAAAACTTCTATGTTTAACAAAAGTCAGTTGAAGAATTTTTGAGCTATAATTAGAAAGATATTATTTTCGAAAAACTTCCGACGTCTAGTACCTCGGAAACGAAGCTTCAAAAGGTACAAGTTCATATCAAATTTTCTGTCCATTTTCGCGGGTTCTATCGCCTATTGAATTTTCCCGATTACAAACTGAAACACCCTGTATAGCAGATTTATTGGAGCTCTGAGATAATGTCCACAACTTGAGGAGAAAGTTATTGCAAAAATATCCTTTATTTGTACTTACCCGGATATTAGAAGATAAAGAAGAAAGTCATTTAAATTGTTATATCATTTACGATAATGTTATTAGGCGTTTTCGGAAACTTACTCGGGTTGTTCGGATCCCTAACATGAACGTTCGGTTACCCAAACCGTATCAAAAGTCAATAAAAAAACGCGGGAATTTACATTCGACGATAACAATAATAAAAAAATAATTTGCATGTTGGGAAAAATCACGACCGGTGATATACATGTTCTTTTCAATCTTCATAATTTGATTAAAGTAATTCATTGAGAAGAGAATTTGGGTAGGGGTGAAGTTTGTGGTTATGTGCAACAACACATATGAGACAAGTACACCAATCCACAGGTAAATATAAATATTTGTAATCAGATCAAATAATTACTTGAATATAATGTGACCATTTTCGTCTGTCAAATTCATGAAACCACAGGAAAAATATAATATTCAGTGTTCCTAACCTGACACGTTCGTAAACGTTGAACACGAGTAGATGATCCGAGTTTTTTGTCACGTGACCTATCTGGATCGAGTTATCAACCCAGAGTAAGTTTCCGAAAACGCCTATAGAGTCATTTAAATTGTTATATCATTTACCATAAATTGACGTATTTGTCATCTTAACAGGGTAGGCACAGATCCTCGTCTCCTCTCACTCTAAACTGTTTGTGAAACAGTTATATATAGTTCCATCTTTATTCATTTCTGGGGATAATCACTTGATTTCTGACATTTGTTGTTTTTTAGGTTATATTGAGGACATTGGCGTATCATACGTAATTTTCACATGTAATTTTTCATTCAACTCTACATATAATATCCAAATGATGATGATAATTTTCGAGTTTTTGATTTATCAACTCCAGCATAATCTTTGTGAGGCAGTGAGCACATTTTTCTGAAAGTTTAATACGTTTTATCGAATGGAACTTTTCATGGGCAGTACCTATCAATGAATGAATTTTGATTTCAGACTGAGTCTTATGGTTGAGAAATGGTGAAAAATTTCATTTAGGTATTCAAACCAATGTGCTCATATGTCATGTGTGCTGTATATATTCATATTGGGAATCATTTTTGCAGTTTTTCAGGAACATTTGATATTTCCTGAATGTAGGTATAATTTTTTAAATGGTAGGGCATATGCCTCTTCTTTTAATCAAAAGTGTTTCTACTAAAATGCATTCAAAAACTTGTGGAGTGGATAATTATATTCACAATGAGAAAGTATAATATATGATTTCCTATTAGTTTTACCTCGAATATTTTGCTGACGTATTTACCAATTTTCCCCATTCTTTCACTTCACTTTCCATGTTCTAAGTTCATTTGCATTTGATGGAAATCTGACAAATTCCAATTTGCCATCCAACTGATTGATAACGCCTAACGCAGCACATTTTACCATCCTTCCAAAACAGAATTGAATAATGTCGTATTAACCCGAGAACGCTCGCACCACGGTCGTTTTGCCGCCAAGCATTAATTTTGCCCCTCCCACATTTATTTGGGCCGGGATTTTAAGACCCGCTCACAAGTCTTCCTAAGTCGAACCGGCGGGCCAGTTCACGTTTGGTTTCGGTCAGAGGGTGTTGTTTGGTTGGAGCTGAAAATTGACAATTGGTCGTTTCCACCGACGCGCGAGCATTCAGAGGTTTGTACCAAATTATTCATTGTCTACAAGGAAATTGGGGGTTATAATCAAGTAAATGTGGCAAAATCAATTAGATAATAGTAGATAACTCTTTATAGATACTGAATACCTTCAATAAACAGCACAAATACTGACGAATTTTGGGATTTTCTATAGTCGGTCAAAACGACCAGCCGCGAGCATCAACGTAACTTTTCATTTTTGTTCAGAAATATACCAACTTTGTGTTCATAGTCGATAGAGTTTTCATAAGAAGTGTATCAATAGCTGAATACCTTTGATAAACACAACACCACAAATACTGACAAATTTGGGGATTTCCTATAGTCGGTCAAAACGACCAGCCGCGAGGATCAACGTAACTTTCTAGTCGCGAGTGTTCTCGGGTTAAGATCAAGTATGAAATTAAAACTTTGTAAGATCTCTTCTAACGCCTATGAATGCGAAGTGACAGCAATGTCATGTCAGGGTTGCTAATAAACGAAACCAAAGTCACTAGATACCCTGTTAGATGACAAATACGCCAGTTTGCATCAAGAAACCCTATTAACAAATGCACGAATCCGTTTTGCCCAAACACATGTATAGGCGATTCCTATATAGACCAATCCAAGAAGCGCCTGCGTGTTGATAAACAGAATACCCGGTATTTTTTGTGAATACTTATGTTCGTCCAACTTTAATTTATTCATCGAAAAAAAGTTTTCTCAATAAAGAAAAGTATAATCATGTATAAATAAAACCTGTAACACACAATATAAGTACAGCGAATAAAAGCATGAACCACCCTATTGCATATTATACGGCGGCGGCTGATGGTATTGGTTCGGGTTCATCTGCTGCCGCTGCAGGTGCGCAACGAGCGCCTGTGAAGGCTGCCCTCCCTGCGGCCCGCCCTGCTGTTGCTGCTGCTGCTGTTGTTGCTGCTGCTGCTGCATGGCCAGCATCCGCATCCTCTGTTGCTGCTGTTGTTGTTGGAACTGGTTCTGAAAGAATGATGAATTGTTTTCCGTGCATTCGTGGGCAAAGTAGTCATTTCGGTACCTAATTTTGCACTTATCATGTGATGGATTTTTTTTCGAAATTTTTTTTTGGTACTTACGTATTTTTGTCTGATTAACACGAATTTTATAATGAAAATGTAAACAAACCATTAATTATTAAGATATTCCACTATAAAGTTACAAATTTCACCTTCTTTTCCGCCTGTCTTCTGGATCGCATTTAGAACAATTTGCTTTTTTTTCCATTATTGGACAATTTATATATATCACAAAATGTTGGACACATTTTTTTTATTATATGAGTCAACTAGAAATATGATTTCCTTGTGATTTATCCATGTTTAGTAAAAAGAAGGAAGAATATCATTTGAAATAATGGCGTGTGTAATGTCATTCCAAAGCGATCTATTGAAATTTGACATCTCGTATTTGGATTGCCTATGGATTAAATGGCCGTCATCTGGTATGCTTGCTCACTAAATAGGAAAAACTCACCATAAAAAACATATTTCCTGTTGAATTTTCTATCTTAAAATGTGTCATTAAAGTACATCATAGTGTCCAATGACAAAATAAAAAGATCAAGTAGATGTAAATGCATCCAACACAAAGAGAAAAAGAAGGCGAAATTTCTTACTTTCTTGAAATATCTCGATAAATAGTGGTTTGTTCACATTTTCATTATCAAATTCGAGTTTTTCAGACAAAAAAAATTTCGAAAAAATACCCTTATTCGCATGATGAGTGCAAAATTGCCCTGAAAAATTTCATCAATAGGAAAAATTCAAATTCATTTCAGTAGCTTTATAAACAAGCCCTTATCACTGTGAATATTTTTTCTAAAAATTCCCGACATACGTCAACGATTTAATGTGTTATGTATTTATTATATGTACCTATATTTTGCATAACGAGAATATATCCCTTCAGGAGTAGCTGAAGCCATCCTCAACATGATTTTTTCAAATACAAACCTATATGCTTTGTGACCCCTCATTGAAATGTGTAACCCGAATATTTTGAAGTATCTACTTATAGTATTACTACTGAAAGTACGTTGAAAATATATTAAACTTTGAAATTTTATTTTGCTTCATTGCGACCCCCAAACATACTGCAAACTGACATTTGATCAGTATGCTGGATTCTTGTTTCAACTAGCTTTCCAATGAGGGGTCCAAAGCCATAGGTTTGCATTTGAAAAAAATATGTTGTGGCTGATTTCAGCTACCCACCCCTAAAGGGTTGAATTCTTCATATTGCTCGCAAAATGTAGGTAAATACATTGAAACGTTGACGTGTCTCGCGAATTTTCAGGAAAATCATTCATCACCACGCTAGCAAATGTATTCCAGTTAAAGTCTTCACCCTGCATATCTTATTTATTCTATTTATCATTATCTAGAATCAAATGGAATTGAATTAATTGCAATATGTTCAATGGAAATATTTGAGTCACCTCAAAATAAATATTTAAACTTTTTCAAAAGTCTGGTGTGGCTGGTAATTTTCAATTTTGAACACGACTCAATATCTTCATTGGTTAATTGACTTCTCAGTTTGGTATCAATAATATTCATGTTATGAAATGATTGACCACATAAATAAGTAGGTTCAAGAATACTGAGAATGTCAAATGATTTTTTTTTAACTCGGAGGTATGAGTCCAGAATGCTATTCCATGTACAGTAAATTAAATTTATCTTCGGTGTATTACTCACAGCAATATCGGTTTTTGCCATTATATGAGTTTGTATTTTTCTTTCTCGAGGTTTTCCAGTTCTATAGAAAGATTTTCAAATTTCGAGCTCCACATATCCTTATTTTGTCAATAAATCCTATTTCAAACGTACCTTGATCAATACCAAATGAAGAAAATATATACCTTTCAAATCTGCATTAATTGTAATGAAAGTCAACTTCCTTTTATGATTTCTGAATTCATGGAATCTGCTTTGAAATGATTTTTGTATTGCAATAATAATGGGATAGAGGATTTTTGAATTTCAAATCTCATTTCAAACGTGCCGTAATAGCCGCCATTTGGCCATGTTCTGCCATACGTCGGATATATAATGACGTCAGTTTTTAAGCTGTTTCATTATTAGTCACATAATCTTCCATTCCCACTCATAAAGCAAGGTTGTCAGATCACCAATTTGAAGTTATAAAAATGTTGATAGAGCCCTGTCATTGAATTATACTATATCCAAATAAAATATTTTATTTGACCTAATAGGAGGAAGCCATGATATTAAAGTTATCAATTTTTGCTTTTTCGAGCAACCAGCTTATCAAAATACGAAATATCATATAAATATTGGATATATCGACTTGGTAATGCTGGCCTGAATTCTGATAACTGATAAGCAATACGCCACAGCACATAAGAGGGAACATTTAATTTTTCATAGCTAATTAGGGCTATAACTAATACATAATTAAGAATTGATGAATAATATTTCTGAAGTCTACCCCTACTTACGAAATCGTGAGGTCAGTTTTCATTTGCGATTGACGACTTTAGGACCTCAAAATCGACCGAAAAAAATAAAAAAATATGGAATTGAATGGTAATTGAATGGTAATTGAGTGATGATTCTATTTAAAAAATAAACAAAAAACAGTCTCAAACCCATTGTGACTATTTCTGTTCTTGTGCTTCAGACTAATATCAAATTTTTCATTTCTACTTTTTTTGTGATTTTCTTCATCAAGAGCCACATGTGGCTCACGAACGACACTTTGGCGACCCCTGATTATGGGATCCTGTACAAGCACTCTGTTTTGTGGATCTGATTATGTGAAATGAAAATAAATGAAAAAATAAAAAAAAAACAAGTTTCCAAGATGGCTCTCACCTGATTCTGCATGTTGGGCTGCATGGCCTGCGCCGAGGTGCGCGAATAGGGCGGCGCGGGCCCGCCCTGACCCGGCATGCCACCCATGCCGCCCATGTTGGCGTTCATCGTCACGTTGGGCGCCTGCTGCATGTAGGGGGCGCGCGGCGCCGTCTGGCCCATCTGCCGATAGTCCGGCTGGCTGGGGCGGGCTTGACCGAAACCTGAAGAGAGATTGACAAAATAAAGTTGGATGTTATGTGAAAGGGTTTGTTTGTACTTGGATTGTTGTTATCGAACGACGAGGTGCGAGTACTTTTCATTTCAGGAAAAATGTTTCCCCACGTTGGGCGCCAATATAATATTGGATGTTATGTCAAAGAGTTTGTGGGCACCCACAAACTGTTCAAAGTTCAACATTACATTCACAATGTTATATTCGTACCCCACGTTGGGCGCCAATATAACATTGGATGCTATGTTGAAGACTTTGTTGGTACTTACATTGCTGATAACGAAAGAAGAGGTGTGAATTTCGAGAGAAACTCATTGACAACTTCGAATCGAGAAGCTATATACTTACAAACTCTTCAACATAACATCTAATGTTATATTGGCGCCCAACGTGGGCACGATTGAAAAGTTTGTCAACTTCAAAGCGACCAGCTATATCAAGTGATATTCAAAATATTCTTGCTTCCATGGCAACAGTAAATTCTTCACTAGCTGGGGTGATAGGCTTTTAGTGGTAAAGCAATCATTGAAGGGTTGTCCTTTGGCCGGTTCGAGGTTATAGAATGTGACAACAGTCTCTGTTCAGAGAACTTTTTTGAAACTGACGGATAATCCAAAAAATATTGAGGAACGAGCCAGCAATACAAAATTAGAGCATCCAAAACTGTTGACATTCTTGAAAAATTATCTCATTCTGAAGAGAACTAATGATCATTTCCATAGAATCGATAGTCGATAAAACGAACATTCAGAAACTGAAAAGTAATTGAAAATCGCTTGAGGTATTCGAAAATCATGATCGAAAAATTTTAATTTTGCGTGTCGAGTGTTGACCAGTTTATTTTCATTGGAATATTGTGAGGATTAAAGAGTTTAGAAAATCAATTTTGCGGCAGTTATCTCGAGGCTGTCAGCTATGACTCGAAATTTCATTTCAAGACATTTAAACTATTCAAAAATGTTGAGGACAATATTATTAAAATTGAAGACCCAATACAGAGATTATGAATGCAAAATAAAAAACTTGTTACTTACTTTGTTGCTGTCCCGTGAACATATTACTCTGAGCTCCCTGCATCATCTGTTGGTTGCCCTGTATGTTGCCTTGCATCATAGTTTGCGGATTTCCACCATAGTTTCCAGCATACTGTTGTCCCATGCCGCTCTGCATGTTACTGTATTGCTGAGGAATGAAACCCTAAAAAGAATCAGGTGTTAAACAGATGTTATTCAATAGTCTGCATAATATCATTGATTATTTGCACTAATAAGATGATCAACCTCCATGTAAAATGTGGAAGCCAAATTTGGCCTTAGTTCTTGACTGGTTCGAAGGCGGCGCTAAAGAAACAAAAGCAAAAGATGGCCGATTTGTCTATACTCTGGGAGCCTGCTAGAGTCCATCTATCAGCAAGTTGCTGAGCTATAAAGGAATATCCTCCTTTCTGAAGCAGGAAAATCTGTATTATTCGCTACTCAATAAGAAGTTGTTCACCTCATCGCTTTACAGAATACAATTTCTGCTTTCACTGCTTTCATAAGGATGGATAGTTGGTTCATCTTGTTTGTGTAAATAATCGAGCTTAATAACCAGAGAAGTAGATTTTTTCTGTTCATGCACACACCCACAATATTTCTTAATGGTATATTCTACAACAAGTATTGGAATGGACTGTCGGAATACAGTCCACAAGTAAAAAGTTTCGCGAGTTTGGAATAAGCCATTCAAAACGTGTTGTAGACGATACATTCTCTAACGAGATTTCAAGAACACAAAAAATGCGATTATAAAAGCAGTTGAAGTTCGAAATACAAACCTCTTCAATTTCAAGAAACAAATTATATGGCTTGGCAACCACATGAGCGCATAGAGCGAGTGTGGTTTCCTGAAGCAACTTAATTTGGTTCAAAAAAGAGAAAAGATTTTCGATAATCATCAATAAAACGAGTTGTATTTGTCATGAAGATTATTTCACTAGATATTTCATGATTAAAAGATAATTTTACGTCTTATTTTCATTCGCAGTTGCGTTATGCAACTAAGTATACATAGAAGAACTTAGATTTCCAAATTGGCGTGTCATCGAGCATATCGTTGGAATTTATATAATGATTAGAGGGTTCGCGCTGTCACTCATGAGATTAGCGATAGCGATATGAAAATATTATGTCATGACAGCCTGCTGCTAGTAAGCCATTTTGTTGTTTCATTTTTGATTCAGCTACCAATGAGAAAAGAGAATACAAAAACGAAGGGGGTACTGGATCGATAGTTAATGCAAACTTTCAGAATTTTTTATAACAATTGTAAGAGAGTATCGTATCGAGGAGCTACGTACATACACGCCCTGTATAGTGCTTCTAGATTAATGAGTGTCGATCTATTGATGACACACGGGGTTATGTAAAAGGTGACGGGTAGAATTTATCGATGTATGAGTAATATTAAGTAGTTAAGAAGTAGCCGTGATACGGCTAGGTTGTATCTGATACCTATTGTGAATATAGTGGAAATCGTGGAGTACCCAGAGTGCTTTATTCTAATAACCGTCCACCAAGTTAACATCAGAAGTGGTCAGAACACCAACCATGCGCAAAGCCAAGAATAAGTCGAGTATTTTCAAAGAACCATCAAGTGGTGAGAGTGATACCTGTTCCGATAGGGATGCATCAACACCTGAGCATTCGGAAGATGAGATGTCAGCGTCAGTCTCTACTGGGGTGAGCGATGTAAATTATTCTCCTAGAAGCAGTAATACGTTTATTTCAAGTATCATTCCTGATTTCAACCCGATTAAAGATGATATTGGAAAATGGTTAGAAATAATAGATTATTATGCTGGTGTATATGGTTGGAATGACTCAACTATTAAATACCAGACTCTCTGCAAACTGAGAGGAACTGCACAAATTTGGTACGAGGGGATAATTCGAAATGAATTGGGTTGGTCAAAGTTCACCTGGGAATATTGGAAAGGAATGTTATTGAAAACCAAATCGAATCGTGATTTTTATAAAATGCTTATTGAGTTAGTGAATCATAGACCAAAAATAGGCGCCTATCTTTATGAATACCATTTTCACCATCTTTAAAAAATAGATAGTTTGCGCATTAATTTGACCGAAACTGATAACATTTCTTTGATTGTTGGGGGAATAGGAGATGATAATATCAGCTCAGTTATCGAAGCCTCCAATATCACAGATTTGAATGTATTATCTAGCTATTTGAGAAACAAAGTTAAGACAGTTCATTCAAAGCCGAAAGGCATCCAAAATTTTCATAAAGAATCATTACCATCATCTCAAAGTATTCCGCCGAGGTATTCCAACAATATTTTTCGAGAAAACAAGAATCAAGTTCTACAAGGTAGATGTTACTCGTGCGGTAATTCAAAAACATCACCGGAACCAATGTTCACATAAGGAAAAAACCTGCTATCATTGTAAAAAAATAGGACACATTGAGAAAAATTGCAGATTGAAATCAGATACCATGATAGCCAATCCAGATAAGAAAGGTAGAGATAGGAAAGACATTATGGTTGTTTCCTCAAATGAGTTCCTATCATATAAAACTGTGAAGATTGATGGAAACTCTTGTAAAGCATTTATTGACTTGGTAGTGATTGTTGCATAATTCGAAAACAACTGGTGAACAATTTCGATATCCCTATAATAAAATTAGAGACGCCCGTGACCTTGGTCGGATTTTTAGGCGTTGGAATCTCAATAAATGAGTATATAGAGGCAAAGTTGAAAGTCGATGAAGCTCAGTTAGTTTGTAGGATGTATGTCATTGATAGTTCTGAATTTGGTCATGACTTCCTCATGGGAAAAAGCTTTTCCGATGATCACAGTGTCTTCTATTATAGGGTTGATAATGAAATAATTTTTGGTAATAAAAAAATGGACAACATTGATCATGAATTCTTTCTTATACATGAAAAAATAAGTGACACCGAGAAGATTCAATTATATGAGATCATAGAGCAATCCAAATCATGTATTTTCAGGAATTTGTTCTCTCTCGGTAAAGCTCACTCAGTATCTATGACTATAGATGTAATTTCCGAAAAACCATTTTCTTTTCGTCCATACAGGGTGGCACAACGGGATAAAAACAATCTACATATTATCACGAAAGATCTGTTGGAAGCAAAAATAATACAACGTAGCTCATCCCCTTATGCTAGTCCTGTATTATTAGTAAATAAAAAAGATGGTGAGAAACGTATGGTTGTCGACTACAGAGCTCTGAATAAAATAACAGTAAAAGACAAGTTCCCAATGCCCATAATAGAAGACCTAATTGATAGTCTCTCAGGTTTTAAATATTTCACATCAATAGATCTGGCGTCGAGCTACCACCAAATTCCTTTGAATGCTTAGTCTGTGCCAAAAACAGCATTTATTACACCAAAAGGGCACTTCGAGTATTTACGTGTTCCATTTGGCCTATCCAATGCTCCATCTGTATTCCAGAGAATGATCACAGAAATATTTCGTCCACTTCGTCATTTATTGATTGATTGATTGATTGATTGTCTTTATTACCCCAAGAAACATTTCTGTTTATGATAGGGATACATAAATACATATAAAAAAAATAATAACAAAGGGTTAACTATAATGAATTCCACTCAGTGGAAACGAATTAATATTGTGTCTTATAAGATTAAAGTTATATTTCATTCCTAAGTAATCAAATCATGCCACATATTTTTCTTTCAAATTGTCCTGAGCAAGTATTTTTTAAGATTGATTTTAAACCTTCTTGCATCATGTATATTTTTCAACTCATTCGGTAATGAATCGTATAAAATTATTCCATTGTGAAAAACAGATTGTTTGCCAATGTTTGACTTGAATGTATTTGCTATCAAGTAATTCAATTGTCTAGTCCCATAATTATGGACTGTATTGACTTCATTGAAAGCTAAATTTGATATTTTCAACTTATTCCTGGCAAAATGAATAAAGCAACATATTTTAAGTTTATATAACGAAATCAGGTTCAGAAAATGTCTTGGTTTGTATAAATTTATCGTTGGTTCTAGAAAATGTAGATCAAAAATGCACTTAATTGATTTGTTTTGTAATTTCATTAGTGGTTTCAGACGTGAAATATTTGTACTCCCCCAAATAGAAATTAAATATTGCAAATTTGAATAAATGAGGCAAAAGTAAATACATTTCAAGTATTTTATGGGAATAATATTTCGGATTTTGAATAAAATGCCTATGATCGGATTTATTTTATTTCTCAAATAGTCTATATGTTTAGTCCATAATAATTTTTCGTCGATATAGAGACCTAAAAATTTTGTCATGTCTGTATATTTAATTAATCTATTGTTGAAAGTTATAGCATTATTCGCGATATTAACTGATTTTTTGGAAATATACATATATGAAGATTTGTTATAATTAAGAGTCAACTTATGAATTTGCATCCAAGATGATATGTTTTCCAAATCACTTGTAATATCCCGTTCGATATCATTTAACTCTTTGGATATATAAATCAATGTTGTATCATCCGCAAATAATTTTAACTTTCCTTTCAATTTCAGAGTTGATATTGAATTAATATAAATTAAAAATAAAATTGGTCCCAGAACTGATCCTTGCGGTACTCCACATGTAATATTCTTTAGTGAGCCAGAAAGATCATTCACTTCAACATACTGCTTTCTATTTGTCAAATAATGTGTGAACCAATCATGAATTCTTCCTCTGACGCCGATTGAATATAATTTATTTAGTAAAATTGTATGATCTACAGTGACAAATGCCTTACATAGGTCCAAGGACAAGAAGCCACATTTATAATTTTCATCAATCCGTGATTGGATATCCGAAATTACATCCATTACAGCTATCTCTGTATCTTTTGACCTACGGAATCCATATTGACCACTGTACAATAGATTGTTATCATATACTTGGATGATATCCTCATTCCATCAAAAGATGTTGCAGAGGGATTATCGAAGCTTAAATTGGTTCTTGGTACCATTTGTGAATATGGTTTGACCATCGAACTCTCAAAATGTACTTTTCTACAAGAAAAGATAACACACCTTGGATATAGTATATCTTTCAATAGCATATCTCCTAATGAGATGAAAACTAAAGCAGTTGTAGATTTTCCAGTGCCAAGAACTATTCATCAACTGATCAACTTCGACAGTTCATGGGTTTAGTTGGGTACTTCAGAAAGTTCATTCCAAATTTCTCACAGAATACCGCTCCACTCACAGAACTTTTTAAGAAAAATGCTAAATGGCAATGGGGAGTCGGCGGTCGGCGTCGGCATACTGCCAGCAGTATGCCCAGGTCGACGGAGCAGGGGGAACGATGTTTTGAACTTCTGGGAGAGTGCGCTAACTGATATATTTGTATTCTTTCAACTGTGGTTTAGGTGAAAAATGAGCCTATTTTCGACAGATCCCAACCAAATAACAGATTCATATGCACGGAAACTCTTCCTCACCTGATTCGGCTGCATCGAGTTGGGATGCGGCTGCCTGATCGCCTGCCTGGGGAAGCCCCGCTGCATCTGGTTGTAGTTGCCGATGGGCTGCGAGTTCGGGTTGTTCTGCATGCCGGGCATGAAGTTGTTGAGCGGCAGCCGGGATCGCAGCATATTCGACAGGGCTTGCTTCGATTGGTTGTTGAGTTGCGGCGGTCTTTCGAATCGATTACCTGAAAAAGGCGCAAAAATAATGAAATTGATTGCACAATGAATAATTAATAAAAATAATAATTTATTAGCAGCAGCATGTACAAATTACTGACTTCTGAGACAATACTTATGTTATACATATACCTATACCTATGTTATAGTCAAAGTTGTCAAGCTGGATGTTGTGGATCCACAAAGAGAGGATATTTACTTCAATTCAGTCCCAACTTTTTGTTGATTATTTTTCGTGTAGATCGCAAAAAAACAGTGGCTTAGCAGGTGCAGAAGAATCGCCGAGAGGTATTTCATTCTGCCTTGAACGGTTCAACAATCATTGTCCGTTTCACCAAACTCTTCGAATTTTGACAATCATCACAAGATTATTGTTCGCAGTGTATTTTTGGTATTTGCTCCGTTCAATACCAACGCCGGGTCGCGTAAACCGAATAATTATATTGTGGACTATTTGCAATTTTGTGAATAAACCTGTGTCCCGGACAATGTCCTGTGGGTAAGTCACTGTTTTTGCTCGCCACTGATTCTCACCTCCTGATTAAAAAATAAATTACAATCGCGCCTACGGAAATCATCCAATTATTCTCACCACTAACTATCGAATCGACCCCTTTGGGTTCGCAACACTGGAGATTCAAATTGTCACAGTGATCTAATGCTATTCTTACATCTATCAGCATCTATCAAATGAACATTATCCTAACAGGCTAAACATTATAATACTGTTAATATTTTTTGGCGCACAATGGTATTTGTAATACTGTGTGTGCACCCATTTTTCTGTTTTACAGTTATTACCGAGGTCATAATAAGAAGGCAATTGTGTTATATTCTACCAGTTATATAACAATTTTCGATTTTGTTCCTTAGTTTGAATCCATTTCGTACCTATATAATATCATATTACATAATTAATTTTATTTTTTTGCTGAATCTAGTTTCATTATATAAACTCAAAATTTGTTGTTTTATTCATTTTGTCAGGAAGGAATTGAAAATATCAAATTTGAATTTTAATGAAGTTAATACGATTCACGCCCATGAAACAAGACAATTTAATTAATTGATAGCAAATAATTATAAGTCAAATTTTGGTAAACAATCAATATTCCATAATGCAATAATTTTATTTACCTCCTTCCCCAATGAGTTGAAAAATATAGAAGAAGCAGAAAAATTTAAAATCAATTTAAGAAATATCTGCTCAGTAAATTTTAATTCAATATCTACTAATCATTCACAATTTGATCACTTGAAATGAATTATAATATTTTTATTTTATATTTTATTACAATCCAGACAATCAATCAATCTGTATTCGTCTATAGGAATCGTTGCATAGATTTCGGGAGGATGTAATTCAATATTCTGCGTGGCATATAGCCAGAAAAGTAGTTGTTTTTCTCTCATCTACCATTGTTGTTCATTTTATTCCAAGATACTTACATATTGAATTAACAAATCTAATATCAAATGAAATGGAAGATAAACAGTTGAATCAGAATTATTCAATATAAAGAAGAGAGTTAAATTGATACAATATGTATATATTTCTTCAGTTCACTCTGGAATTTTGTGACGAGTCACGAGATTGAGATATTATTCTGTTGGGGAGACTATATAAAGATGTTTTCTTCCCAAAATGAGTTCTCATTTTGAGTTTTCATATGATTACTTTGTCTGATGTCATGCTCATAGACATCAGAATTGGCATTGAAGGTAGGATTTGAGTTATTCTTCTATTTTTAGTAAAATGGATGAAAATGCATACTTTCATTTTGAATAGATAGTGAATATTTAGCTGATCCATAGGTTTGTATAGTCTGGATGTCGATTCCAAAATTGGTAGTTTATAAATACTTTTTATGGCTTTATTTTGTAGAGATTGTAAAGCCCCACTTGTTCTTCGTTGGCCTACAAATGAGGAAGCAAACGCCTACTTTCGATTCAGTTACATTACAAAAATCACATAATTTCACCCCTCACTCACCTGGCATAGGCGGATAGTACCCCTGCTGCGGCCCCTGCCCGTACCAGCTCTGCTGCCCGCCCCCACCTCCGTACTGCCCTCCCTGCGGTGCCTGCCCGTACCCGCCCAGATGCTGCCCCATCTGTGCGCCCCCGCCCTGCCCCCCACCACCCATCTGCAGGCCGCCTGGCGCGCCGCCCTGGCCCTGGCCCGCCCCTCCGAGCGGTGGCTGCCCTCCCAGCGCCATCGGGCCGACGTGCATCGGCCCGCCCGGCGCGGCCTTCGGCTTGCGCGGCTTGCGTTGGCCCTTGCCGCGGCCCTTGGAGATGCCACCACCGGCGCCCGCGGGGCTCTGGTCCACCGAGGTCGGGGTGTCCGCCTATTAAGAACGGAGTATAATGATAATTGGGTGAATAACAATAGATACCGCAATTCATTCATAAATCATTGAAAAGTACTGAGCTGGAATATTTATCGTTGATCGTGGCTGTGGCTGTAACTAATTTCTTATTCACATTTGTGGTGACTGATGCCACAGAATATTTGTTTTGTCATTTTTGTATGTAGAATTACTTGTCTAAGGTCTGTAATTATCCTAAGAAGTGTTCTGACTGTTCTGTGCAATGTGTCAGTTATTTGAATCTGTGGTTTTCAGTGATGTCTGTCAACGCCTAGATTTTACATGTTTCTCTAGCTTTTTCCCTCCAGTTTTGGGAGTACCATTTTGGACAATAAAAGCAATTAGAAGTTATGAATAATCCTGTTCAATCATGCCAAGAATTTACATTATGAAATAATCCAACTCATAGTAGTTCTGAGTGGAGTGTGTAGATGAGAATTGGTAGATCGGAGTAGCGGTCCCTGATACCAGACCTAAGACACCTACACATTCTTCATATTGTAGGTTAGGTCTACGATCCTAACCCTGAATTATCGCTCTTCTTATTTCTTATTGAATATGGATTCCATGTCAAGTGACAGTGTTGCCAGTCAATCAATCAATCAATCAATCAATCAATCAATATCATTTACTGTATCGAAAGAATCATATTCTTATTACAAGAGAATTGGTGTGTGTCAAATTTATATGTAACACTGTTACAGGAGTATAAAAAAAACATTTCGAGTACAAAAAGAGACTACATCATTATAATACAGTGTGACCCACTTCTAATGGAAACACCCCTGTATCTTACGTAATCGTTGGGTATGGATCCTGAGTCGGAGATGTAAAGAGGCAACCTTTTGGTTTGGTCAGTATTTTGCCCCTGCATGGAAATTATTGTGCCACCTGGTGTTTCTATAATAGGTAAATGAATACGATGTTTTGTCTGTTATGGATTTTTTTTTTTTTTTATCGCTTGAAGCGCACGAAAGGGAATCCCTATGATGTTCAGAGAACATCGTGCGTTCCTAGGGAGGATAGGGACAGGAGGTAGGTATTGGAATTTTTTTTGAACTTGTGGAGATTATATGTTGCTGGGAATACTTCCACAGGCAATGAATTCCAGAGCCTAGAGATTCGTGTTTTCTATAATAGCAGAAGTACCACGCGGACGAATCAAGTTCCAGTTCCAGCTCCTACTCCTGGCGTATTCATAACTCTACCAAACCCCCCGAAATCCCGTCTCAGCTCAGTACCCACCATCAATCTTAAATGCCAAACACGAAATCGCGAATGGTGGGGATAACTCTGCAGATTCATTACCAGAGATCACATGTTTTAATATAATAATACTTCAGTTTATAACGTCTTAGCGAGATAATTTGATATTTTCGATATTTTAAACACGCTTTTCATCAGTAAAAGCAAGCCCCCTCAAACAAAACCGCCTTTGTACCAAATGTGGGCTAACATTATTTATTGTCCACCAAATCGCACTACTGAAACATGAGGTCAGCGTTGATAAAACTGATAAATGTACTTCTTATTTTCTTGTCATTTGGCCTTTTGCTATGATATCTTCTTCTCCGACAAGAATTGGTAGTAAAGTTTGTAAAAATTGTCACTGACAAGCTAGTGAATTTTTCTTCTAGGCTCTCTGATAGAAAAATTCTTTAAACGTCACTGCATTATGGGGAAAATCATCTGATTTGTCCTTACTACACGTATATTGAAATAATATCCATATTTTTATTTCACAGAAACGAGGAGAGAAAATCCCAAAAAATCTGGAATAATGAATGAACCACCTCCTTGATTAACCCACAGCCAGTATCCATTTTTAATGTTGAAAACGGGAGCAGATTCGTTCCCGAAACGTCCAAAGATAAGTGAAAATTCGATATATTTATTATATACCTTTATTTCTCTTCTCCAAACCTTGTTCAATACAAATTGTTACTGACAAGCTAGTGAATTTTTCTTTTAGGCTCTCTGATAGGAAAACTCTTTAAACGCAGTGACATTTTAGGGCAAATATTCTGAGTTGTCAGGACTACACGTTGATCATTTTTTCATTTTATAGAGACGAATAGAGAAAATCCCAAAAAAATTTGGAATAACGGGGATTTTTTCTCGAAAACGAATATTTAGAAAATTCTACCTCGTCTTCCGACTCTGGACGATTTTCAAAATATTCGTGTTATCGAAGAAGTTTCCGGTAATAAGTGAATATCATCATGCACATACCGGTTTCTCCGGAATAGGCTCCAGGTCTTCGGGCGGCAGCGGCGGCGGGTCCAGATAGTGCGCGGCGGGACGCTGCAGGTTGTGCGTGTGGAACTTGAGCAGCCGGTGCGTGTCCTCGCAGGCCAACGGCTTCCTCTCCAGACGGACGGCGCCGAACCACGCCCACGACAGGGGGGCGGGGTTCTTCATGCCCTCCAGGATGTCCCAGTTGCTGACGCGCTGCTTGTCGGTCACCTAAACGAAACGAGAGTTTTCGTTCAGGAGACGCGAGTGTCTCGCGAGTAATGAACTCAATATAAACACCTGGAAGGGATCCTCTGTGAACGACGAGTGTGACAAAAATATTGTTCAGACAACCCACAGTGGTTACGGGTACCTATCTATTTCTTATATTATGGCTAATGGGAAGCGCTCGCAGTATATGTGATTAAATATAAATATTCATGTAGGAAAAAGGATAATGTTGCAATCAATTGGTGTGGTAAAAAAGTTTGGCATTTCATCTCTGTTGGCAGGTTATAAAATGTCACTTTTCATAAATTACTTTTGTCCCGTGGGAAAAAAGTGAGTACTTTTTTCCCGGATATACCGGGTGTCCCAGTATACCTGTTCCAATAGATTATTTCAGCCATTTCGAAAGATGAAAATTTGAAAATTACATGATCTACTACAATTCTAATGGTTTGAAATTATTATTGAAGTCAAAATCAAGATTACAAAAATATCATAGCCTACTGCAATTCGTTCAAACCAGAAGTGACTTTCAATTTTTGTTCTCGTCAGTTGAAGCTTCCTTGGACGAATTGGAGATCATGAAATTTTTTATTTTTCGAAATGGCTGAGATAATTCATTGGAACAGGTATACTGGGACACCCGTATATCACATATATAAACACTGTTGATGGATTTTGTTGTGCTATAGTTCCGAAAAATGAGTCAATAATACCGTCTCCGAGAAAGAACTGCAAGTCCTTTTATCTTCCATTCGACTTCGCGGTTACGTATACTATCTCACGTATACTAAACAACCACTAAATTCGCAATTTTTTGATATCAAATCACAGAATTAGACTGACAGAAGTGACATCAGATAGTTGATTACTCCAAAAGAATGATAAAGATGCCTACAACGCAGGTGTCCCTACTATAAAGAACTTAAAATTTCACGTCGATAATTTTCAGATTTCAAAATAATGTAATATCTTCTCAATATTGATTCGTCCTTTCTTCTGTCACAGAAAAAAATAGTGTATTATACACGGAAAAATGTACATCTTCATTTTTTCCTTTCTGGAAAAGGAGAAGCTTCAAAGGCAAATCTGAAAAGACAATATTATGATGTAGCTCTTGAGTTTAAAAATTTGAACTTGTAGTTTTTACCTGCAAAATGTTTTTTAGTACCTCATCAAGATTGTCATCCTCCATTTTACTTGTTGTTTCAATGTTTTCACTTTTCATTGCGAATAGGCCTTCTGGAATGAAACAGTTTGTGGGTTTCATTATCAATAAACTTTGAAACTGACATGGGAGCTGGAAGTTGTGAGCAAATCAATGTCTATATGAAAAACCTTGTCCTTATAATCCAAGTTATGAACATCCACAGACACATCCTCAAAATAAATTACTATAGTTTTTCTAAGAATCTGAACAATTTTCAACTTACCCATGGAGGACAATTTCTGTTTGATTTCTTTGTTTTGCATCCAAAGCCAACACAAAATAAATAACCATTATTTATTAATTCGTAATCACAAATCTTTTCAACAATAATCAATTCAGTCCTTTTGAAGAAACAAAACCCTCCAAATTTATCGATATTTCACATAACAAAAAACAATGAAGTTCTGTCTTCACTTGTTTTGCCTGTTTAGGTAAAAAAAAAGATCTCGAGTACTCCAATTATTGGATAAAAGAAAATGTATACACCAATCCGCCATTAAACAACACGAGTGTGAAAGAGACAGGTTACCGTAACACAAGCAATCTTTGATGCAGCTGCCCCTGAAGCACTTTTTGCTACTCGAGAAAGCGGCGGTCTCCCTTCCAGTTGTTTACATTGAGTTCAATGCTCGCGAGAGACTGGTTCCTGATTGCAACTCGTCCTCTGCGCAAGCGCGGGATTTCCAGTGGCGCAAATTTCAAATCTCATTGGAAGGGCATTACTGATTTTCAGTCAAATTGTGTAGATAATAGGTAAGATAACTATAAAGGGGAAATCGTTGGAATGAATGCACAAAAAATAAAATAAACAGTGATTGATAAAGAACAAAGAATGCATTAATGTAATGATGTTGAATCTTCATTCACTCACTAGATAGGCATTATGTACATATGTACATTTAAATTGAAATCATTTTGTTTGCAGAATCGTGAGTTCCACGAGAAAGTAGCCAACGTATATTTTTCTATGAAGGTTTCTTAGTAGAAACACAAACATTATAAATCGAGCGTCATTCTGAAAAGTTGTTTGAATTGATTCAACGATTTAGTAATATAATAGGTAGGTAATAGCTTAGATCTGACAATTGATAATTATCTCTTGTTGGTTTTAATCTGAGTTATTCACGAAATAATCTAGTCTTATACCCTGCGACCTATACATTTAAATGGATCAACTATCGAAATATTCTTTGCATTATTTCACTTTTTGTGGAAATAGTTTCATGCACAATAGATTGATAAACTTTATAAATTTATTGTGCGTCAAAAAATAAAATCAACAGGCCCGAGCGTTTTTTCAAAAAACTAACCACTCAATTTTTGAATGAATATTGACATTACTTACAACAGCGAGGTTTGTTGAAAGATGGTTTAATATAGGAAGTGCCAGTTGTAATTTATGTTTCGATATTTGAAACAGCACTAAATTGTATTTATATTCAATGACAATGAAAAACAAGGAATAGATTTTTAATCATCAATTTTGTCTCGAATTGATCAACAGATTTAGTAAACATGATTTTTATCTTATTTACCTACCTTACAACAAGTTATACTTCGCAAGGTTTTCTTTGTTTATTCAATACCAATATGAATACTTTCAATTTATATAATGTAAACATTTTGAATAAACTTCACTATTATCATTATTATTAATGAAAATAATCGACTTACCATTTAATATAAGAGAAATTCAAAAAAATCAGCCAACATTTTGATGATAAATACTCACCTCAACACTACTCATCAACAGTGATTCACTTATCATATAAGGAACATTACCACGCATCCAGTGATGCCGCACTTACCTGAAGGTCGTGTTTCTTGTCGACGCTATCGAAACTCATCTTGTTGCCCCTACTAGAACCGGCCGATTCGACAGCAATCACCTCGGTTACCACCCTCGGCAAGGGGAGAAGTTGACGGATGTGTTGCAAAGAAGCGCTCTGTTTTTCGCCGACTTCCTTCTTCAGCTTCTTCAGCAAGTTAGGATACATTTTTCTGCTATCATCCTGGAGGATAACGTAAGTATTTATTCATTTGGTTATTGATTCATGTAAAATACGTATACATTCATTTATTCAATTATCGAATTAGGTAATATCAATTACATGTATATATATTTCATATTGTATCTCCTTCACATAGGTTAGTGACCTCTGTGTGAAAGAGATGAAGTGTAAGTTTTTCAAGTCGTACATTGTTGATTTTGTTTCTTCTATCATCACTATGGTTGATTTTATTGGTTATTGTCGGATTCTTTTTAATAAAGATTATTGACGCCTTATAGAATAATTGCCTCAATATATTATTTTCTAAAAATAATGATGCTGATGGATAATCAAATGATTTATGGAATATTATTTTCAAAACATATTTTTGAATACATAATAACGGTTTTTGACGAGTTTCATACATACCACCCCATTCAATTATTCCATACGATAATATAGATTGGATATTAGTCATATAAATATATAATGTGTCGATAAGATAACCCCCCCCTCTAATTACCTTCTGAACAGCTGGAATTTTTTGTTATTAAACTTTTTTGCCTCAGTGGTGATTTAAGTGCTACATTTTGATTCCAATACAAAATTATTATCTTTCAAAATGGCGTCTGTAGGCCATTTTGGGAGTTTCATTGAAATGGAATTGTTCTCCATTTCGAATAGACATTTTCTCAATCTTGCTATTATCTTCAATATGACTCCGTCTGTATATTCTTCCTTGATTCTCATATATTGGGGGTCAGGCCTATAGTGTAAATAATCAACCTGTTTCTTTTTTCATTACTTCATATTCCCTACCTGATGAGAGTCTAAAACATGTATCTGAACATGTGAATGTTTACAAAAATATTGTGGAGATGACTTGGAGCTCTTTTCTCATCGTGAATTATTATATTTATGATTTATCGTAATTCAACTGGCAACATAGACTGACTCGATGTCAGTTGAAAAACATCCAATTTTGTTTATAATTTCGATATGATAATATCCATTGTGTATTCAGTTCCACTATGCACAAGAGATAACAATAACTGTTATGAAATAATGCAGGATAAATAATAAATTCTTGAAATAGACCTCAAACTCAAACTGCATACTAATTCTTGTGATATCACAGATAATTGTAAATGCCATTCTATAGAAAAATCTAGTTGTATAAAATACCTCGGAGTCTTCCTAGATCAGCATTTGAAATGGACCGATCATATCTATTACGTCACAAAACGACTACGAGTTCTCATGCACAAATTTTTTGAATTACGTGACATATTATCGAAAAAAAATCTAGCCATTCTATATACCTCACTTGCAGAATCACTAATACAATATTGCATTCCGGCTTGGGGACCAACATTCAAAACCCATCTCAATCCATTGCAGACTGCACAAAATTTATTATTAAAAATTATTTTTAGAAAACCTAGACTTTTCTCTAAAAATCAATTATACCAGGAATTCAAGATATTAAATATCCAATCAATCTGTGCTTATCAATGCCTAAAAAGAATTAATCGAGATCAACACAAATTCACACAACAACACTCACGAGAAACTCGATCAGTAACAAACTCGAATATTAAAGTCGAATTTTTTAAAAAAACTGTTACACAAAATTCATTTTTTCACTACGGGCCAAAAATCTACAATACCCTCCCAAAAAATCTTAAAGAAATGAAAAACTTTAATATTTTCAAAAAGGAAACAAAGAAATATATATTGAGCCATCCCGACAAATTTTTCTAATAATCACAATTATATAATTAATTAAGAATTTATGATCAACCAGTTCTGGGACTTTCATCCAATCTTCCTTCCTTCCTTCCTTCCTTAATATGAATACCATGAAGTATTAGTAAACATTTATTACTTGCCACATCAAAATAATCCACTGTAAGCTTTGGGTGTCATACATAACAGAGATCACAAGACAGACTTCAAGTCTAGCGTGACGATGTTTTGTAGGGCACTCAGTAACCGAAAATTGTCAAATAACAAATAGTACATAAAATGAATATAATTTATTATTATTAAAAAAAAAAAGAACAAATTCGATGTGAGAAAAGAATTCACGGAAATATGATGATATTGAAAATAAGTAACATATGGAGTGTCCCATTTTGAGCAGCACCTAAGATGGCACTGACAGCACCACTTTTATTTAAAAAAATATTTATACAGGGCGGACCATACCTAAATTTCAACATTTAATAATGAATGTGAGAAATGTTAACAATGTACCTAAGATACTGAATGAGTAAATAAATATTCCGTTCGAAAAACTGGTAGAGTTTTGAAATGTTATGCACTTTTCACACATTTCCGTGAAATAACGAAATACTATTTTGATATCGAAAAATAACTAACTTTAGGCACACGAAATGCATTAAAAAGTGTACTTTTTTGGAAGGAAATAATCTAATGAGCCGCGATGATAATGTTTTCTCAAGTGTTTTCGTTGTTTTAATGAACGAAAAATGTTCTTGTTGATAGTTCAGAAACCCATTTTCAAAAAAGTCCTCGAACACACCTCGAAATTTTCATCCACAGCTTAATATGGCATATAGGATAACAAAGCAAAACCTATTTTTGCAAAACATTGCGTCAGAGAACGTAGTCATTTAGTTTTGTTAGGATCTTATATTAGATTCCTCTCAACTTTCATAGGCACTATCTCAAATTGGAGATCAGTACAGGAAAGTAGTTGTTTTCTGTTGAATATTCAGAATGAAGTATTGTGCATATACATATTTTTATCTGGAGGAGAATGCAAACTCTCAACTTTAGAAGATTTTGTTTTCGAATTCTTATCGTGTGTGTTCAATATACAGGGTGATTCACATAAGAACCGACATAGAGCAGGGGCATGTAGGAGGTCCCAAAATATGGCAATTTAACGCAACTTACCTCTATACCAAGTTGCTTCCCTAAGGAGTTATAGGCTTTGAAAGTGAAGTTATAAATTTTGAAAAAAATCAATATCTCTGTTATTCTTGAACTTGAAGCAACCAAATTTGGTACACTTTGTGGATGTATTTAGGGCGTTACTTGACAGTAACTAGAGTTTAATTGAAATTTGTAAAGGGGGTATACCGGGTGGCGCACCATTAATATCAAACAGAATTTTGTTAACCCTTGATGGATTTCAAAAAACTTTGCTTTGTTGTGTAGGCAATTCAATTCTAAAACTTTTCCTACTCTAGTAATTTTTCGAAAAACCTCATCATTTTCATCAAAAACTCGAATAACTGAAAACGCGCGCTCTAGGTGTGTTATTCAAAATCATAGAAAATTCAAAAGTTGGCTATGAAAATAAACGTACAACAAGTAGGTCATTAATTGTGATCAGTAGAAATTGGCAGGCAAATTATTATTTAGATGCGTAACAAAATACGTAAAGTAAGTACAGATACTAAAATGTGGGATTAACGACTAACCAAAATAAACACAAAAATCGATAAATTACTTAATTGAACAACTTACTTGCTTCATTGTCAAGTTTGACGTTTATTTTCATAGCCAACTTTTGAATTTTCGATGATTTTAAATAACACACCTAGAGCACGCGTTTTCAGTTATTCGAGTTTTTGATGAAAATGATGAGGTTTTCCGAGAAATTACTAGACTAAGAAAAGTTTTAGAATTGAATTTCCCACAAAACAAAGCAAAGATTTTTAAAATCCATCAAGGGTTAACAAGATTCTGTTGAATATTAATGGTGCGCCACCCGGTATACCCCTTTTACAAATTTCAATTGAACTCTAGTTACTGTCAAGTAACGCCCTAAATACATCCACAAAGTGTACCAAATTTGGTTGTTTTAAGTTCAAGAATAACGGAGATATTGATTTTTTTCAAAATTTATAACTTCACTTTCAAAGCCTATAACTCCTTAGGGAAGCAACTTGGTATAAAGGTAAGTTGCGTTAAATTGCCATATTTTGGGACCCCCTACATGTCCCTGCTCTATGTCGGTTCTTATGTGAATCACCCTGTATAATGCAATGCTCGTCATGGCATATAGCCAAGAAAGTAGTTGTTCTTTGTTTTCTGTTGAATAAACCGAGAAATAATTAATATTTTTATTACATAGAGAATGCGATTTTTCAATGTATTTCTTTATACCGGGTGACACAAAATAAAATGATGGAAATATGAACTAATAACTAATGGAATCATAAAATAATTAAATGATGAAATAATGGAATAATGAAATAATGAAATGAAGAAATAATGAAATGATACAATTATGGAATGATGAAATAACGAAATGATGTAACGATAAAATATCGAATCTCAAAATCATCTCACCTGACTGTCGGTGGCCTTGGCGGCGTGCACGAGCGTCGCGAGCATGTCCACCACGACGGTGAAGAGGTCGTTGTGCGTGTGCAGATCCACCAGGCCGTACGTCACGAGCTGGACGAGCAGCAGCGCCCAATCGGTGGTGGCGGCCGGATTGCGCTGGAACGCCTCGAACACGCCGCCGACGAGGGCGAAGCGCAACCGCAGACCGTCCAAGGTCTGCTGGGTGCCGATGGCGTCCGGCTGGGTGCCCTCTTTGGCTTGTTGCACCAGCTGGAGGCGAAGAAGAAGTGGCGGATTATGATACATACAGGCGCGTATTAACATTCAAAGGCGTCCAAAGCCGTTACCACCGATAAAACAAGGCCTGCATGCTCCGTGGGTGACGTCACTTAGTCAGGTCTAACCAGCGGCTCGAAACGACAAGCGCTTATAGCGCTATAAGGCGACCGCGTATTTCGATTTTAGTTTTAGATCATTATTGAGCCGATTTTGCTTTTTTTTTGAAGGGCTTCCGGTTGAAAGAGGATGCCAGCCGTCAACTGAGCTCTTCTTCGCATCCCATTCGATTTTATTATGGAAAAACGAAGTTTCAAAGCAAAACCCAGAATAAAACACAAATACCCACCTACAGCAACCCATTCGAATTAAATATATTGGCAAAAATTGTAGTGATTCAATCTCATTAGAGGTAAACTTCACACCTACTTATACAGGGCCCGCAGAACATAAACTTATCATGAGATTGATCGAAAGAAAATTGGGGAAAATGTATTTTAGTTTGATAGACATGCCGTTTGTTATACCTAATTACCTATATTTATCTTGGAGAATTCCTATTACCTAAAAAATTAGCCAGTGAGTGTTTTCAATTTCCTGTTGTTGGATTTTTTACCCAATTGGTCGTTAGACTTGAAACAGTAATTTTTAAGTAGAGTGTTTGTAGTACATGTTAATATAATAGTTGCAATTTGATCATTGGAATGAATTCTGCATTCATTTCCACGAGGCAAATGACCGTTTTCAGAAAGAAATTTGAGAATGTATTGAGTCAGAAACCAAAGAGTCCAATGCATTCGAAATATGTTTCAAAACCCTCTTTTTCTGATTATCAAGACATTTTCCCGAATTATGTATCTCGTTTTTATCTATTTCAATTAGTAATTCCTTGATTTGATTGATATTATTAGAGATAAAAGGTGTTTTCAGATTGGCTTTTAGAGATGTTTGTATCGCTAGGTCATACAAAAATGATTCCACATTCAAAACAAAATCAATCACAACCGAATATGTAATTACGGGCCCTGGAGAATAAGACAATTTGAATAATGTGACTTTTTGCAAATCGATAATTTTGAACCACTTTTCGGCAACTGAAAAGACTCTAATACAACTAGAAATTCTTGAAATTCTGTGTAGCAAAATGATTTTTGGTAATTTTCGAATTCAGTTTTACTTTTGGTAAGTGCTTGTGCCAAATTTTTAGTCTCTAGTATCTCAAGTTTTTCATCACGACTTGTGCGTAATTTTACATCTTTCGATAAATAAGATGGACAGTTGGGAAATTGAGTGGGAATAACATCTCGTTTGAGCCTAGGAATTTTCAAATCTATTGTTACAGTTTTGCCAGTTTTTGAATCGGTTGCAGTAGATGAAGTAATAATATAATCTTTAGTAAAATGTAATTCACATACTTTACTGTACTTAGATGGAGTCGTAAAATCCTTGCGGTGAATTGCATGTACCCACTTTTTCGATAGTTCCTTGTCCAACGGGATTTTGGACCACCCACATAATTCCCCCGACAAAAGGGAACACAACACTTGTAAGGCATTGTTATTTCGCCTATCACAACACGAAATATTTCACAAAACAGTAATTTCTCCGCCAATTATTTTGATGAATAAACAACAAGAGAATTCGAGCACACACGCGATTTACCTACGCCACCGTTCTTAAACAAAAACAAACTGACGATCGATCGATGCGAATTGCCTTGGAAGATGGCCTGAGTATGCGACGTTACGAGCTGTTTACGTCAGAGTTTGCTGGCCTTGTTTTATCGGTGGTAACGCCAAAGCCCATGCATATTTTCGCGCCCCCCTTCTCAATGTTTTATTCAGTATATGAGGGAAATTTTTAAAACGACACACGAAACTGGCGACAGTGTTATATATATTTTATTCAAAATTATATCAGACACTAAAAAATAGTGAAACAACATTAACAAACTATTGTCCAACAACCTTAAGACTAGCTATTAACTGCTACTTCCAAATTTTTGAGCAGGTTTCATCTATTGTCATTAAGGCTGAGTTGCTTAGTTTGGAATCCGATAACTTCGGCCTTACATAATTTTTAATTCTCTTGAGTGTCGAGAAAGGTCTTTCTCCTGAACAGTTAGTAACTGCTTTGCTCATGTAGTTCTGCCTTATTTTTAGCTTTTTTTCGATATTCTGCGGCACCTAATTTTTTATTCAAGTCGCTCATGACGAAAACACGAAAAAAACACAATATTATCATAGCAAATCTAACACAATGGTACCGGGTGACCAGTTATATTCTGACCCATTTCAAATGCTTATATCTCTGAAACCATTAAAGTTATCGTTGTGCAGTTTGGACTAGTCTATTTTGATATTTTTCAAGTTTTTTTTGACAGGTTCACCTTCACTCTTGAACATCCGGTTCTACCGGAAACAAACTAGCCATTATTCAGGTATAGGGCAACTTTTTTATTTCATTGAATCACCCTGTATATTTTTGCACATTCAGAAAGACTGGTCTTTTCTCTTTCTAACAATGTATAACAAGTTATGTTTTCTTAGAAAACTATCAGAGTTATAACTGTTTGAAACAACTACTGCATGTGGAATGGTTTAATGAGATTTTGCAATGTAACCAAAGTCGTCTTTGGAAATCCTGATCACAACACATGAAATGCCAGATTAGATGTGTCAAATAAAGATTGTCGAGCATTTGTACTTTCTTCGAGTTGAAAAAATGTTTACTTTGACTGAAAAAGCAAATGAACTCATCATAAATCTGCATCAGATTTATACTCAATATACGGTAATTCAGCATTTCAGGATAACATCCTAATATGCAGTTCATGCTTCAATATAAGCATTTGAAATGGGTCACAATATAACTGGTCACCCGGTATCTGCAAATGTATAACAGCAACAGCGCGAAGTACAAAACTGCAATATTTCTGTGTCCTGGTATTCCCTGAATAGATAGTCTCGAACTAAACATGCCGCTGATACAGCGTAGCGTTGCCAAATGTTGCCATCTATGCGGAATGACTTTTAGGAGGAGAACTACGGGGGCTGTTATAGAGTTGCTACTTCGGATAATTTTTCGCAATCAGTGTATCAATAAGATAAGTATCATAGTATAAAGTACCAAGTACCTACATGAGGAAATATATAATTTGATTTCTGATCCAATTGATTTTTTGTATTTGGAATTTTTTTCGCCCTCTGGGATTTAGCGCTACAAGCCCTGGCTTTGCGGGCTTTTACTATAATCCGCCCCTGGATACATACGCCTTAGAGGGTACGGACGTGTCGCGGTAGCTACATCTAGGGTCCCTTGATGCAAACTGACGTATTTGTCATCTAACAGGGTACGGACAGATCATAGCTCCTTTCTCTTTCAATCATCTAGTGACTTTGTTTTGGAGTATTGGCGTCCCTGACATGAAATTGCTGTCGAGTCACATTCATAGACGTTAAAAGAGATCTTACAAAATTTTAACTTGTCGCTGACATCAGTGATATTCGACATTTGTCTAGATAATCAACATGTGAAATGAATTCCTCTTGCTAGAAAACAGGGATTAAAAACGATTCAGAAACTTCAAAAGGCTAACCTGTTAACGTGAAATCATCAATGAAATCCATATTATCGATTTAAATGCAGATTCCATATCAAGTTATAGTGCAACGCAGTGTATATTTGGTTGCCTGTACTACAATCATGCATTAATAGACAAACTGATTATTAATAGGGATCATCTACGATCAATCTCATAAACATTAAACATACTCGTTATTACCAGGTCAACGGAAAAATATTTCAATTGCACATTTTAATAACATTAAAATGTTTCAACGTGATAGCATTATATTTTCCTCACTTGTGACAGTTGTTGGTTCAACGAAGATAACAATCCCTCTCTTTGGCCCTCCTCTTGACCTTTCAGACACGTCAGCACCAAAGATAGGAACGGTTGATGGCTCAGTAGGCTCTGACTCTCGCCGCACCCCCTCGATTTGATTTTCTGCTCCTTGCACCAGCCTCCCCCTTCCAGAACTTGTCCTGCCACTTTCAAAACTCTGCCTGCAAAGCAAAAGAAAGATCACAGAGGAAGAAAGAATACAGATACATACAATGTTCTTGTCTTGTCTTCTAATGTCTTGAAATATAAAAATGTAAAAACTTGTGAAACAAAAAGCAAAAATACTTGTGAATACTTTGGAACAAATAATTAACTATCTACCTATGGACTGCTAGTAGTAAACTCAGAAACACGCTTAAAAATATTTGCATCTTGTACTAAGGCGGAAGTTGTAGCGACGCATGCGCTTACAATGAAAATCTCAAAATTTTAACAGTAGTGTACCTAGGCCGGTACCAGCCCAAGATGGCCGCCGCCGGAAGTGACGTCACAACCGTTCCTGTGGTGGAAGGTGTTGGCTGCACGGAAGTGACGTCACAAGATGGCCGCCGGAAGTGACAGATGACAAGTGACAGATGACAAGTGACAGATGACAAGTGGCAGATGACAAGTGACAGATGACAAGTGACATGGAACACAAGGAGTGACAGATGGCATGGAACACAAAGAGTGACAAGTGACAGATGGCAGATGACAAGTGACAGACAGATGACAAGTGGCAGATGACAAGTGACAGATGACAAGTGACAGATGACAAGTGACAGATGGCAAGTGACAGATGACAAGTGGCAGATGACAAGTGACAGATGACAAGTGACATGGAACACAAGGAGTGACAGATGGCATGGAACACAAAGAGTGACAAGTGACAGATGGCATGGAACACAAAGAGTGACAAGTGACAGATGACAAGTGACAGATGACAAGTGACAGACAGATGACAAGTGGCAGATGACAAGTGACAGATGACAAGTGACAGATGACAAGTGACAGATGACAAGTGACAGATGACAAGTGACAGATGACAAGTGACAGATGACAAGTGACAGATGACAAGTGGCAGATAAGTGACATATGACAAGTGACAGATGGCATGGAACACAAAGAGTGACAGATGGCATGGAACACAAAGAGTGACAGGTGACAGACGACGAGTGACAAATGACAGACAAGTGACAGATGACATAGAACACAAGAAATGACACGTGGAAGTACTCTGAACTTAGCCCCCTAGACTCTGGACTCTAGTGCTTATGGGCGTGGACATTCTTCTTCTTCTTTTTGAAAGGTGGTGGATGACGTCACAATCTATTGACTGTGCTCACCTGATTTAGGTTGGTATTACTACAATTGGTAGCACTTTGTTTCAAGGTCACCCGATATGCATGTTGCAGGTGGCCGATGAGTCATCCTTATCTCTACTTCATAGAACAATGCCTCCTTTGTTTGCCATTTATGTTATCTAGCCTTCCTCTAGAACAATGCCGCCTTTGTTCTCTCGACGCCACTGTCAGCGTTTCTTGGAATTCCGGCTATTGGATAATTCGCGACGCAATATACGAGAACAATGCCGCCTTTGTTTGCAGGTGTCCGATTACGTAACAACCTCATCCGATTGCATCATCCTTATCTGTGTGAGAACAATGGGTCCATTGTTCTAACGCAGGTGGCCGATGAGTCATCTAATAATGCTAGCTGGGAAACATACTGAAAGAGTACCTCTATCTACTTCCTGTCGCCACTGACTGTCAGCGTTTCTTGGAATTTCGTCGAGTCAGCTATTGGGAAATTTGCCTCAAGAACAATACCTCCGTTGTTTGCAGGTGGTCGATGACGTCACAACCTCAAGCCCTATATAAGGCGGTCAGAACGTTCGTAGGCGTCATTCCATTCTGAACTTTGACACTGGTCGGTCGATCTGTTCTTTCCTGTTCGGTTGCTCCTGTCCGTTCGGTTGCTCCTATCTGTTTTATTATATTGTGTGTGGGTTGTGCCAGCTGAAAGGTGAGTTATTTATTTATTACGTTTCAAGGCCATGTGGTCGACCCTATTTGTGACTAGTGATCATTTCACCCAATACTAGCAGTAGTAAGTTTCTCATCAGATGGATGTTTCAGCTATTAACGCTCAAGCTGCTGCCTTCGAACCAACTGTAGCACTAAGTAGCTTGCCCATCAACCAGCCCCACCCCATTGAAAATATCAGGGTGGTCCAGACACGGTTTGGAGAGGCTATTGTGGTGGAACTCGAGGCATCTAGCGTTTTTCTGCCAAGGAGGGTAGTTGGCATCTTCAAGCCTCAGCTTCTGGCTTTCACCCCAGGCAAATACAGCCTGATTCACAAGAGGAGTGACACCGGACCCTCTTTGAGATTACTGAAAATTAGTGGTGAGTAAAATATTATTTTCTGTTTGATATTTCTCGCATCATGAATGTCAATAGTATTGCTTCTACTAGTGATGCCGTTGTTGAGGAATGTAGAAGAAAAGTGGAAATTTTGAGGAACAAGACGAACATATCTGCAGAAGAGAGACTGTTATGGAATAGGCAAATAGGGACGCATATAAGAGAATTAAATAGGGCAATCAGGGGGACCAATTCGACAGCAGGGGTTTTGAGAAAATTAGAAACAAATGTGGGGCATTTGAAACGTTTTCAAAGTTTGATTAGGAAGAAGAATCATATAGGGGCGGGACTTGGCAATCGTAAAAATAGAGTTACATGGAGACTTGTTCAATCTGTTTTTGAGAGTAGAGTAAGGACGGCTGTTATAATCAATTTAAGTCATAAGGAGTTGATGCAATTTTTGCAGGACGCATCGCACATTTTCAAAATTCAAATTAAAAAATATTGAGGGAATTAACAATGCTCAAAGTCAACACCACCTTCTGTGGTGAGTTTATCAAGAAATCGGATGACGCGGAGATTATTGAATTCAAATATTTCAATACAAAGAATGCTACAATGGATGAGGGAACGGATTTAGATCATTGGTTTGCGGAAAATGTGATTGATGCCATAGTGAATAAACTTTCGGAATTCCAGGAGAAGAGTAGTGGCTGGGCCTTGCGAGAAATTGTTTCTTTAGAGGTTAATGTTAATAAATTAGAAATTGGCAATGGTTCATCATTCATTGGATTACCTGACCAAATTTCCAAGAAGCAAGCCTGCATCAATGTGAAAAACACTGATGAGGCATGCTTCTTCTGGAGTATCGTGAGCGCTTTACATCCTGCTAACCGTAAGGTAGACAGGCCCAGCTCGTATCCTCATTACAGCCAAGTTTTGAATACCGCAGGCTTGGATGTACCCATGACTCTCAACAATATCCCTAAATTCGAAAAACTCAATGATATTTCGGTGAACGTTTATGCCTTGGAACTGATTCATGTTAGAAAGACAGAGTATTTCGAAGTAGTACCCATAAAACTCACTAAACATAAGCAGCCCAGACATGTCAATCTACTGCTCATTCAAAGTGAATATTTCCCCAAGCCCAACGATCATGATGTCTTGCCCGAAGATGATTACGACGAAGACCTCAGGTATCATTATTGTTGGATCAAAGACATGTCCAGGCTTCTATCTTCACAACTCAATAAACATGATCATAAAAAACATTTCTGTGATAGGTGTCTGAATTATTTTTCCAGCGAATTCAAATTGGCAGAGCACAGTGTTCTATGTGAAAATGTTAACGAGTGCAAAATTTCTTTCCCCAAATACGATTCAGTTGTTTTCAAAAATCATATATATAAGCAAAAGGCCGAATTCATCATCTACGGTGATTTTGAATCGGTTTTGGAGCACTGTGATGACAAAATTTCTCAAAAAATGTCGAAATATCAAAAACATACAGCCTTCAGCGCAGGGTACTATTTCAAATGCTCATATGATGATAGCTTGTCCTATTACAAGAGTCATCGAGGTCCTGATTGCATGGATTGGTTTGCCACAGAAATGGCAGATGTCGCGAAATTTGTACAGTCTAAAATCAAAGACATTATTCCTCTGACTCATTTCCCAGATAAGGTTGGTGTAACACACTGCCATATCTGTGAAAAGGCGTTTGCGGGCACTGATATCATTGTTAAAGACCACCATCATTTCACTGGTGCCTTCAGGGGGTGGGCGCATCAATCTTGTAATTTGGGGTACCGCAAGTCCTTCGTAGTGCCCATAGTGTTCCACAATTTTTCCGGATATGATTCTCATTTCCTTCTGAGAGAGATTGCCAAACGTGGACAGGTGAGCGTACTTCCGATAAATATGGGGAAATACATTTCTTTCACCCAACACAACTCTGAAACCGGTATTAAATTCAGATTCATCGACTCTTTGAGATTCCTGGGTGCCAGTTTGGACGAGTTGGCATCCAATTTAACGGAGGATAGCTTCCAAAATTTGAGAAAAGAATTCAACCAATTAGACGCTTCTAAATTCGATCTACTCACAAAGAAAGGTGTTTTTCCATATGACCACATCAATAGTCCGAGCAAATTAGACGAAACTGAACTTCCGCCCATTGAGAACTTTTATAATAAATTGAACGATGAACATATCGATGATGTGAAGTACGCTCATGCTCAAAACGTATGGCAACAATTTGGATGTCAAAATTTAGGTGAATACTCGGATTTATACATGAAAACAGATATCCTTCTTCTGGCAGATGTTTTCGAACAATTCAGAGAAGCTGCTTTGAGGACTTATACCTTAGATCCGGCTTGGTATTACACCCTTCCAGGTTATACGTGGGATTGTATGCTGAAGTACACGAAATGTTCACTACAAATTTTAAAAGATGTTGACATGCTGATGTTTGTCGAAAAGGCCATAAGAGGTGGTATTTCGGTTTGTTGTAACCGCTATTCTGAAGCCAACCATAAGTACACTTCAACATACGATCCTACGAAACCACCAAAGCATCTTCTCTACTTGGACGTTAACAATCTATATGGATGGGCAATGTCAAAGCCCCTCCCTTATGGAGGGTTTGAATGGACTGATGCCAACATTGACGTCACATTGATTCCCGACGATGCGCCAGAAGGATATATCTTACAAGTAGATTTGGAATATCCAGAAAACTTGCACGATCTACATAAAGACTTTCCGTTTTGTGCCGAACACCGCAAGCCACCTGGTTCCAAGTTGGCAAA